ATTATGCGTACCACTGATATACAGATCATATAAACAGGTGCATTGGTCACAAACCAATCAGAATTATAAATGGCTTCTCGTACAAGACACAACATCAGATTTAGACTTTTCTTTAAAAAACAAAAGAGGGTACAATTTCACTTTTTACATCTGTACACGCTTTTTTTTTTATAATTCTTTTTTTTTCATATATTCAGTTCCTACAGTTAAAAGCATTCACCCGCCATAGACCGTTTCAAAACAAAGAAACTGCAGACGCAACAAAAAAAATAATGATAAAAATATAATAATAATAATAATAATAATAATACTCGTTTAAGATTCAGGATCAATCATCTGGAAATTATTTTTGATTCATTTAAATCGGACGTTTCCATCCAGAACTAAACCGTCTGCAGAGAATCTAGTCCTGGTCCAAGTCCTGGTCCAAGTCCCGATCTAGTCTGGGTTAGATCCAAGGTTTAGTAGTAAAGTCCTGGTTGAGTCGTGGTTGAGTCGTGGTTGATTCGTGGTTGAGTCCTGGTCTAGTCCTGGTCCAGTCCCGGTTCTAGTCTTGATCTAGTCTGGGTTGGATCCAAGGTTAGTAGTAGAGTCCTAGTTGAGTCGTGGTTGAGTCGTGGTCGAGTCGTGGTCGAGTCGTGGTCGAGTCCTGGTCTAGTCCTGGTCTAGTCCTGGTCTAGTCCCGGGTCTAGTCCCGGGTCTAGTCCCGGGTCTAGTCCCGGTCTAGTCCCGGGTCTAGTCCCGGTTCTAGTCCCGGGTCTAGTCGTAGTTCAGTTTAGTTTAGTTTAGTTTAGTTTAAGTTCTGTAAATTCGAAGGTCTAGTCCTGGTCTAGTCCTGGTCTAGTCCTGGTCTAGTCCTGGTCCAGTTCTGTCGTCTGGATAATTCCAAGGTTTAGTCCCGATTTAGACCCAATTTCAGTCCTGGTCTAGTCCTGGTCTGGTTAAGGTCTGGTCCTGGTTCAATTTCTTCATCTGGATAATTTGAAGGTTTAGTCCCGGTTTAGTCCCGAGTTAGTCCCGGTTCAGTTTAATTGCAAGGTTTAGTTCAGGTCTCGTTCTGGTCTCGTCCTGGTCTCGTCCTGGTCTCGTCCTGGTCTCGTCCTGGTCTCGTCCTGGTCTCGTCCAGTCCCAGTAAAGTCCTAGTTCAATTTCGTCTGGAAATTCCAAGGTCTATTCCTGGTCAAGTCCTGGTTCAGATTTGTTGTCTGGATAATTCCAAGGTTTAGTCCTGATTTAGTCCCAGTGTAGTCTCGGTGTAGTCTTGGTCTAGCCCTGGTCTAGTCCTCATGCAGTTTTGTCGTCTGGATAATTCCTAGGTTTAGTCCTGGTGAAGTCCTGGTGAAGTCCTGGTCTAGTCCTCGTGCAGTTTTGTCGTCTGGATAATTCCAAGGTTTAGTCCCAATTTAGTTCCGATGTAGTCCCGGTTTAGGCCCAGTCTAGGCCCGGTCTAGTCCTGGTTCAAATTTGTCATCTGGATAATTCCAAGGTTTAGTCCTGGTCTTAGTCACTGGTCTAGTCCCTGTTTTAGTCCTGGTCTAGTCCCGGTCTTCGTCCCCGGTCTTCGTCCCCGGTCTTCGTCCCCGGTCTTCGTCCCCGGTCTTCGTCCCCGGTCTTCGTCCCCGGTCTTCGTCCCCGGTCTTCGTCCCCGGTCTTCGTCCCCGGTCTTAGTCCCCGGTCTTAGTCCCCGGTCTTAGTCCCCGGTCTTAGTCCCCGGTCTTAGTCCCCGGTCTTAGTCCCCGGTCTTAGTCCCCGGTCTAGTCCCTGGTTCTTTCTTTCAAACAGTCTATGGGAAACATTCATTCACAAAAAAAAAAAAAAAAAAAAATAAAAACAAAACATTTGAGAACTTGAACCGTTGAACAGTTTTGTCATGGCAATTTTCAGAATCAGGCAATTTGACGGTGAAATTAACACTTTACATTCATAAAATCCAACTTTTCATGAGGACAAGATCGTTAGAAAAAAGGCAAGATCGAGCCTAAAACGCCAACGTGAAAACATCGAACACACAACTCATCCGTACCAAAAAATAAAAACAAAAATACAAAAATGTGCAAAGGAAAAGTGGAGGAATCGAAGCGTTTCTCTGATAGTGCATAATGGTATCGAGGTCAAACCAGTGCCAGCAGAGGGCGCAATCCTCCGCAGTAATAATAAAACTCAATACAGTCTGATGAGTGCGGTCGTGACGGAGGTGCATAGTGGATCTGGAGTGCTCACCGGTTAGTTTTGTCGTCGTTTCTGGAGTGATTTTTGTTAGTGACGGACGAAGAATACGAGATTATTTTACGAACTATTTAAGAAGAGATTTTTCTGACACTTGTGTTACGTTTTCAGAATCAAACGTACAGATTTTTAGGACGATTACGCTGGACTGTTAAAGCTACTCGGGGTGTAACGCTTCATGAATTCGTCCAGAATCGTTTCGGTATTGGGCGTTTGGTTCCGTGGGACCCGACACAAAACAGTGCGGCGCGGGACACATTTCGAAAGCTCATTGCGGCGCAGGTGGAAGCGGGACTACACGATGTGAGAGGATAAACTGCAGTCCCGCAAACTAGAGGTCTGCGCAGGACAGAATTTACAGTCCCACTCCCGCCCGCGTCTGCAAAGATTTGTAATTTTCAGTTCCGCTCCTGCCTGCATCTGCGATATTTTGTCCCGTTCCCGCCCGCAAATCCTGCCAGACGTGGATGTTCACTTTCTAAAGCTCTAAACACAGAACAGTGGAAAGTAATTGTCTAAAATGTGCATGAGATTAGATCACGTCCGCAAGTCCACACAACAACGTTTTTTGGTTGATACTGTGAAGTTTGTATTCGTTTTGGTCTTTCGTCCACATGGAGCCGGTGTTTGTTCTGAGAATGCAAACATTGCGTTGTCAGCTTTTGGAAATGGATTGCGTCCCGACCCCAGCGCAGCCCTGGAGCTGGCCTCCGTGCACTGAAAAACTGTTGCCGAAATGTGACAGGTGCATCTACGGAGCCGCTCCCGTCGCCCGGCAACTGAGACACGCTGATACACAGGAGGCTCTACCTCAAACTAAATCTGACTGTGAGATAAAATATACAAATGATTCATGTTTGTCTGTCATACATCATTTGTGCTGGAGATTTAATTTGGCATTAATAAAAACATTTTAAGCAGCCAAAACTTGTGGACGTGTCAATTCCTTTCCACTTCTCTGTGTTTAAATCTGTTGTTTAAAGCCAACGTCCACGTCTTGCAGGATTTGCGGGCGGAAGCGGGACAAAATATCACAGATGCGGGCGGGAGCGGGACTGAAAATTACAATTCTTATTAAACACACAAACGGTTTTACGTTTTGTTCCTGAAAATGAACCAAACTGTGACGTCAAAACTGAGTGATGTGCCGAACTGGGATTTTTGAACCGTTACACCCCTAAAAGCTTTAAGTGACGTTCCCTCCTAAAAACAAACCTGGAGTTTTTGTCTCTTGCTCATTTTTGCTTCTTATTTAGAATTTATTATCACCATTTATATTTTTGCTCTTTGTTATTACATTATTTTGTGATGTTTGAGCTCTTGTGTCCAAATAATTACAATTGTGGATCGATAAAGTTCGTCCAAGTCTAAGTCCAGAGCTGAAGTCTTTCCGAACGATTCTACTGAAGCTGTGTGGAGTTTAAAAACACAGTGGAGCAACACAAAACTCCAGGTATGTTTGCAAAGAAGAAACGACATTAAAACTACGTCAGAAAACAGCGTAAGATTAGATTGTTAAGTTAAATTATCCAACTTTTCTGTTTTTAATTGCTAAGTGAAGAGAGGAGGGGACAAGTTTATTTAAAAAACAACATAAAAATAAACCGAACTGTAGCTTTAACTTGGTCATTATTCGTCGATTCCGTTTGATAAGTGCATAAAAAACTCCAAATGTAAAGAGGATGAAGCTGGAACAGTCGTATCGTGTCGTACCTCGTGTGTCGTCGTTTCTAAACCGGGTTCCGTTTGGACTAAAGCGTCACGCAGCCACAAAAAACACGGCCAGTCGGCTTTAAAATCGGGTTTAAAATGGTTCTGTACAGTCGTGGAGATGTGATCAAGTTTAGGATGAAGCGCGTCGTTCCGAGTACCGCGAAGGCAAAGGGTTTTTTATATCGGTGTGTGTTTCTGTTTGAAGGCAGAAGGAGCTGAGTGGAGTTCAGCTGTAACCGGGCAAAACGGTGCAAGGCAGTTGTTTTTGTTTGTTTTTTTTTAAAGACGCACTAAGGAACTTTTCTGGCGGAGAGTCCTTCGGCTGCTCGTCGGATGTTCTGCGGTGAAGCCACAAACTTAAAGAGTCTCGCTGGAGTCTCCGAGCCAAAGCACAGGTCAGATTTGAGAAGAAGGAAGTGTTTTTAAAGATGTTTTTGAGAAATAAATAAAGCTGAAGTTGAATAAAAATGTGTTTAATACCACACGACACTTGTCTCTTGTTCTGTTTTGCGACTTATTTTGAATTTATTATTACTGTTTATATTTTTACTCTTTGTTATTATATTTTATTGTGATATTTGAGCGAATGTGTCCAAATTATTTCCTTTGTGGATCAATAAAGTTTGTCCGTTCAGACCGAAGCGTCAAAAAGCGTCTAGTTGGAGCCTTTGGATTTGAGTTTTGACGCCCCCCAAGGAGCGTCTTGGTCGCTGTGGACGAACGGGAGGAAAATACTTGACGTGTGTCCAGGTTCCGTTGCCCTGGAAACAAGAGACATTTCCTGGAACGATGGACCAGGCCGAGAGAGACTTTAGTGTTTTTAGTACATGAAACCATCAGCGAAGACGATCGGCTCAGCGACTGCGGCGCGTTTATATTTATACTCCACTAATGATACTGGTGCAGTCCTGGTGTAGACCGGGTTTAGACCGGGTTCAGTCCTGGTGTAGTCCTGGTGCAGACCGGGTTTAGACCGGGTTTAGACCGGGTTTAGACCGGGTTTAGACCGGGTTTAGACCGGGTTTAGACAGGTTCAGTCCTGGTGTAGTCCTGGTGTAGTCCTGGCAATTGGCTTTGTGGTTGCGGTGTGTTTATATTTGTAATCTTCCAATGACACTGGTCCAGTCCTGGTCCAGTCCTGGTCCAGTCCTGGTCCAGTCCTGGTCCAGTCCTGGTCCAGTCCTGGTCCAGTCCTGGTCCAGTCCTGGTGACTTGCTCAACGGTTGCAGTGTGTATATATTTATGCTAATAACACTGGTTCAGTCCTGGTTTAGACCTGGTTTAGACCTGGTGCAGTCCTGGTCCAGTTCTGACGATCGGTATTATGAACTATAATCCACTAATGACACGGCGTAGGTTCAGTCCTGGTGTAGTCCTGATGATCAGTTCGGCGGCTGCGGCATGTATATATTTATATTCCACTAATGACACTGGTCCAGTCCTGGTCCAGTCGTGTCCCAGTCGTGTCCCAGTCGTGTCCCAGTCGTGTCCCAGTCGTGTCCAGTCGTGTCCCAGTCGTGTCCCAGTCCCGTCCTGGCGATTGACTCGGTGGTTGTGGTGTGTTTATATTTATACTCCACTACTGCTTGTGGCTCCCGGGTCTTTCTCTTCTTCCGGGTCATAACGTCGCTGTGTGTTACGGGCCCCGGCCCTTTGTTATTTGTTTAAGTACTCCTGTTCTTCCCTAATTGCTTTTGTCGGCGCATGATGCTCCCGGTCCACGAGCCCTGGACCCGGATGCGCGGGAGTACCCGACGTGGGACGGAGGCTGGCGTCGCAGCGCGTCAGCGATTGGCCCTTCATCCCTGCGCTTCCACCAATCCGCGGATGCCACCTGTAATAGCGGGGATTGAAAAGGACCATCTTCCGCCTGCTCGAGGCGGCTGGATCACTGCGGCCAGCTCGCCACTTTGTTTAACATTGGATTGTCTCATTTTTGTTGTATTGCCGGCTGTTGCCTTGTTTATTTCGTTGGGACACCTTTGTTTTGTTTCGCAGAAATTTTGAGTAGATTTGGTACTTTGTGTTTAGTTAGGGCTCTTTAGTTAATTCGATTGTTTTGTTTAACTCCTATTTGTTTTCACCTTAATTGCTTGTTTTTTTTTCGTTGTCTTCCTTACACTGTAAATAATAAATGCACAATTTTTAGTTAAACCTTTAACATCCTGGTTTTCTTGTTACTTCCCTTTCTCCCCTAGCAAAGGGGACGTAACACTGTGTCTCTGGATGTTCGTCCCTGATTTGGCATCAGACGCATCACGTCAACCAAAGTTCAGCATTTTCAACTTCTGACGTCCCGGGTGCGCGTCCAGAGATTTGACGCCTGAACGCTCAAGACTTTACAAAACTGGAAACCCTGACGCTCCGGTCTGAACGGATCTTAAGTCCAAGTCTAAACTCTTTAATTAAACCCACGCATCGTTACTGTGAGTGTGGGCACCTCTCCACAGATCTGACCTGTAACGTGGCTCGGAGTCACCGGCAGCTCGTCCCAGCGGAGTTATTTTGTAAGTAAGTTTAATGCGGAACTCTGCGGAACTTTCCAGACGCAGCGCCGACGTCTCCATCTCCGTCTCCGTCACTCGAAAAGTTACGTAGTGAAGCTTTAAATCCAGGAGGCAAAACTGTAGACGCAATCTTACGTTCTGAACACTGCATTTAAATAACAGAAAAAGGCACAAAGAAAGAGTGCGAGGAGGAAGAAGAAGAAGAAGAAGAAGCAGGAAGTGGAGAGGAAGGACGGACGGTCAGTAGAGCTGGAGGAATCCAACGAGACGAGGCCCAAAACATTTTACAGAAGCTTTAGAGAAGTTTGAAGGAGATTTCTTTAAGTACCATAGAGCTTTTTCACAACGACCGGAGGAAGTCTCGCCCTGGAGCTTTGAGGAACTTCTGGTTTTTGGTTTTCTGTGTAAATGTGTCGTTTTCTCCGGCAGCTTCATAAATCTGCCCCAAATCTTCAACCAACAAGCTCCACAAGGAATTTATCCACAACTATCAAGTTAAGAACCTGTTTATGAACCCTCCAGCTCTGGAGACGCGTCCGTGTGAAGTTTAAAAGAGTGAGGGAGCGCGGGGCGTTTGAACTTTGGAATCCCATTTGTGTGAATCTAAACGAAACGATATTTAAAAAGGTCCGATATTACACAGAACGGACTCACGTGAGCTTCAAGTCGTCTTCTAATGTCGTTTAATCCTCAGAAAACAGAGCTGGAGTTGTGTTTTGTTTCATTCACACGTTTGAGAAACTCTTTATTATGAGTCTGTCTACATTTCCAAAGCTCTAAACGCTCTGTTCCACCTTGTGATGTCATGAAGCTCCTTTTGCCTTTAGGAGTTGAATTTATCCAAATCTAGTGAAGGTTTATGGAGTTTAAAAACACAGTGGAGCACTTTCTGTCACAGGGTTCCCACTTTTTTTTTTACTGACAAAATTTCAAGACTTTTTCATGACCTAAAGTGAATTTTCCATGACTTTACGGCACCTGCATTTGTAGAATCGATCTGACTTTTAGGTCCAAATATGAAATGTGAACTCTTTCCACTCACTGCCTGCAAAAATATCAAAATATCAATATATCGTATCGTTTAATGTGCTGATACAGGATGGATATCGTGGGCTGCTGTATCGATATATCACCAAGAGGATTTTTTTGGTTTATTTTACTAAATTATTTTGTTACAGCTACAGTTTTGTTGTTTGTTCAGATGAAGGAAACCTGTTTATGTGACACATTTGACTTTTTCTAGTCAGTCTGGCACCACCTAGTGCCTCTGCTCAATTTTTATTTCTCTCCAGTGACTAGATGAACACTAGACGGTTTGGGAGAACACCGGAAGTGCGAGTTCAGGCACCAGCCAATCAGAGAAGAGACAAACATTCTGTGTTGGCAACGATTCCCGATATCGAGGATTTAAAGCCGGAACAAAGAGACAGTTTGGTGAATTTTATCAAGAGGAAAGACGTTATTGTTCTTCTTCCTGCGGGATTTGGAGCATTACAAACGTCACGACCAAACAGCAGCGATTGGTTCAATTAAAAAAAAGTACCCGTCTACTGTTGAGCGAACGAATCCTGATGCTGCGAGGTCACACAGTTTCCACAAAGTGAAACCGACTCATGAATCAGACATTTTCACAGTTTTGATGATTAAAATGTTTGTGTTTCATTTTAACTTTGCACAAGACGTGATTTAACAAAGACTTTCAGTATCACAGACTTGATTTAGCCGTTAGTTTTTATTGAACAAGTATCGAATCGATTTGAAATATTTATCCCGGCTGGTTTACCCCAATTATTATATTTTATTGTACGGTCTTTTATCGCCATGACAACAGCAGCGGAGTCAGATCAGTTTAGATCTTCAACCGCCGTTTCATAAAGGAGACATGTTTTATATCGTGATATAATCGTCGTTGTTGTTCTCCTTGATTCCAGACGCCGCTGCTTCAAAAATCCTGGTCATACACGCCCACCGATCTCTACTTACTTCATTCTCATATTTAATTATTTTTCTTAAACAGAGCTCAAATATTTATAGAAAAACCACTCTTTTTACTCTTTTTTTTTCGTGGATTTGAGCTCCTTGTTTATAGGTACCATTTTGAGCATTTTTATCCATTGAGAACTGAATATTTTTGCTCTATTTTTTTAATTTAACTCAAAAGTTATCGTTTTGTTTGACCGTATCGTACCGAAAGTGCACTGTATCGAGATATGTATCGTATCGCGTCCGAGGTATCGAGGTATGTATCGTATCGACATCTTCTTAATGATACTCAGCCCTAATTATTGTCGTTTCTTTTCTTTTCCTTCTTCTTTTCTGTAACTGCGTGAAAGAGACACTAAAATTCCATGACTTTTCCAGGATTTCCATGACCGTGGGAACCCTGATGACATCTCGAGAGTGTTTTTTATCAGTTTGAGAGAAGAACTCAGCTTAAATGTGCAGATTTGTGCGTTAAACATGTGTGAATGAAACAAATAACACAACTCCAGGTCTTTTTTTGACGAGGAAACGACATTAGAACACAGATCAGACAATAATCGTGTAATACGGGCCTTTAAAATTTTGACACCAACAAATAGTTTTCCTTCCGTCATACCCCTTATTTCCTATCTGGTCAACTCCTTTTTGTTTTTTTTAGCAGCTATAGATTTTTAAGGAGTTTTACATTCTGGACTGGAACGGCCACAGGAAACGTAGGTCCGCCGAGACGAGAGAGGAAAAGACAAAATACAAAAAAAAACCAAACATTTCGGAGATTCTGATTTTTCTGGAGAAGCGCGGAACTCCTCCAGGTCTAAAATTAAGGTGCGAAGAAGGTCAAAAATATCTTAAAATATCTTCTCTATGGCGGTCTCAGACAAATAGAGACGAGGGAATACAGGCCTGTCACAATCAGACCGGCCACTAGAGGGCAGCACGAAACAACATCTGAGCATTTGACGTAAAAGTGTCGGACGTCCGTGGACCGTTGCGAGATGGGGACAGTGGGAACATCTACACGGCCTGGGAAAATCCTGATAATTCCATCTTATTTTGGTGTGTGTTTACGGCACAGGAGAAATCTGATCATCAAAAACGCAAGAGGATTTTTAAGAGTAACTGTGGTATTTGGAAGACAGAGTACGAAGAATTTTAAATAACTCTTTCAGCGTTTAACATTTCCTCTTTCTTGTTTGTTTTTGGCATATTAGTTTATCCTTTTTGCATAATTTTCCTTGTCCAAACCTGCACAGAAATGAACAATAAGAAAGAAATCTGGTACCTCACGTCAGAATGGTATTTCTGTAATCGGATAACTCCAGAAATCAGACAATGATCAGATTTTTTTGCGTGCGCGTAAACTCACCCAGCCCACATGTTTTTAACGGACTCTCTTTGGGTTATAAACATAAACATTATCATTTCCTTCTCGTCGTTGGTCCGGTTGTGACAGGCCTGTAGCAGAGGCACCTCCTCCTGACAGTAGCGGCTCCTGATCCATAGGGGGCGCTGTGGGAGCAAGGCGGCTCGGGGCAGGCTGCAGGTCAAAGGTCAAAGGTTACAGTCGGTGTTAATGTACAAAGATGTGGCGCAGCAGGTCGTCGGCGGAGGGCCTCAGTTTGGTCTCCACGAAGATCCTCCGCAGGAACTCCCTGCAGTGGTCGGACACGTGCGGCGGCAGCACCGGGTTCGTCGGCTGAGTCGCGATCTTGAAGATGGCCGCCATCGCCTCGAACTCTGCCCACGGGGGGCGCTGCGTGAGCATCTCCACCACGGTGCAGCCCACGCTCCTGCAGAAGAAGAAGTACACAGTCAGGTTTTAGATCAGGAGTGTCAAACTCAAATTCAGAGAGGCCAAAATTAAAAACTGGGACAAAGCCGTGGGCCAAAACTAAATATTTATTAAAAAATTTCAACAACATCTGCATGTTTTCTCTTCTTTTGAGATCTGTAATGTTAAACTTTTTCTTCTTAAAATAAATGTTTAATAATAGTTTTGCTTCAACACTGAATCCAGAACAAGCAAAATATAAAATAATAAAATTTTAAATGAATAATGTCTCTGTAGACTATCTCTGTGCGGCAGGCAGCTCTAATACAGATTAGATATGATCTTGTGGGCCAAAAATAATTATATCGTGGGCCAAATTTGGCCCCCGGGCCTGAGTTTGACATGTCTGCTTTAGATTATGTGCCTCCTCTAAAAACAACCTGGACCACACATTATCATTGCAAAACTTACGCTTGTTGTGCACTGTAATATATATATAAAAAAAAAAAACTGGTGCTGTCAAAAATATCTCGTTAATGCAAAATCATTTTAACGGCATTAACTTTTTGTTGCGAACTAGTTTTTTCATAAGCTGTGGCCACTGCTGTAAACAAACATGTAAACAAACATGTAAACAAACATGTAAACAAACAGCGCTGTGAGACGATGTCGTCGGAACAAACAAATACGGTCGCAACAAAAAACATTTCCACAAAGCCTGATCCATTTTTCTATATTGAGAAGAGTATTTAAAAAAATTATTCAAGGGACAAAAATGTGCGATTAATTTGCAATTAACTGCAATTAACTATGACATTCATGAGATTAATCATGATTAAATATTTTAAATCGATTGACAGCACTGAAAAAAACATTTAAAAAGAGCAATATTGGACAAAATGAACTGTGTAAAGATTAAATACAGCAATAAATGTAATTCATACTCAACACTCAAATGGTATGAGATTAAATGATTCAAATCAAAATGATCTGTGGTAAAATGCTCTTCTGAAAATCTTTTTGTGTTTTTGTGTAATCCCTCATTTGTCCAGAGGGGGGAGCCTTTGTAAAAGAACATTTAATTCAGTCACAGGAATAAAGGGTTTAAGAAGAAGAATTTTTGGCTCATCTGCTCCAGTCAGAACTGAAGAGGAGAATCTTATATCTTATATCTGACTGAAGGGGAGCGGCCCGAGACTGTCAGAACTGGAGCAGCCTCTTGGACGAGTGGACAAACGTATTCACCCCTAAAAACCTTTGTCCAGTTTTCAATTTTCTTTTGCGATGGAAAAATTTCATCTCGTTTCCAAAAATGTTCTGAAACCTGAAGCGCCCCCTGGAGATTTCTGTGGGTGCTGTCCTACTGCTGCTCTGTGCCAATGTCAATAAAGTCAGTACCAGATGTGTTTGTAAAGGGTTTGACGGGCAAAAACATCAGAATAAACAGAATATAAAACAGAACGTTAGCGGGTCAGTACCAGATGTCTGCCTTGCGTCCGTAGCCTTCTCCGCTGATCACTTCCGGGCTCATCCAATATGGCGTCCCGGTGACCGACTTCATGCCCGTTCCAGACAGACAGATGGTCTGAAGACGCCGACTCGCCCCGAAGTCGCCGAGCTTCACGTTCCCCACAGAGTCTCTCAGGATGTTCGCTCCTACGAAAAAAAAAAAAACACAAACACACACAACAAATGATAAAAATGATAAAACCGGAACTGATTTAAAAACACGAGCTGCAGGAAATAAATAAATACCAGACGGAAATTCTTACAAAAGCCTAAACCCAACATGCTTTTCCATTTATTTGAGCAAAACGTATCCTGCCTCGGTGGAGATATAACGTGTAAACAACTCTTGAGGTCGATGTAAATCTAGTAAAAATAACAGTAGTAGTAGTAGTAAAATGTTTCCGTCCTCTTGCCAGGCCTAATTTAAAAAACATAAATTGCGTGGAGACCTTTGATGTCCCTGTGCACGATCATGTTGCTGTGGAGATACGACACCCCCTCCAGGATCTGTCGGGTGTAACGCCGCGTCACGTTTTCTGTCAGTGCGCCGTACGACTTCAGCTGGTCCTTTATCGAGCCCTGAAACACACACGAGGACATTAGAAACGTTTACTCTTTACAGCAGAGTTACACACAAGGGATAATGTGCGACTTTTCTGCTGGTCTCCATGGAGATGTTATTGCTTCATTCTTCACAGTGTGACATTAAACCTTTCTGTCTTCATGCACGACATCGCAGAGTCAGAATGTCAGTTTATCTAGGGATTTTTCTGGATCTAAATGCACCAAGTACAGTGCAAGTGCAAATGTTTATTTAGTTTTAGTTTTTTGCCAAAAATTATCTGTAGTTTTTGGTCAAGATTTTATCAATTGTTTCTGGTTTTAGTCAAACAAAATGTCACACCCTCCCATCCTCCAACAGTCCTGGTTCAGTCCTAGTTCAGTCCTAGTTCAGTCCTGGTTTAGACCAGGTTTAGGCCAGGTTTAGGCCAGGTTTAGACCAGGTTTAGACCAGGTTTAGGCCAGGTTTAGGCCAGGTTTAGACCAGGTTTAGACCAGGTTTAGACCAGGTTCAGACCAGGTTCAGACCAGGTTCAGCCCTCGTTCAGTCCTGATTCAGCACATAATCATAATCAGCACATAATATAAATATTTTTATTTTAACTTAAATCATGTGTGATAGCGCAGATGAGCAGATCTTGGATGGAGGGTTTGGATCTGGTTTCCGGTCATTCATCTCAAACCCACCCAGACACAGGGAGAACCTGCAAACTCCTATTTTATTATATCAGTACTTTGAGCTTCAACTTTAATTCTTAGTACTTACATTTTTTTTAAAATTATGTTTCAGTCCAAAAAATATGACATTGACTAAAATTGTTGAGAAATTAACACTGCTAGGGACGTATAAATGGCACTGACCCCGGGCATGTACTTCAAGAATACACAGAGAAGTACTGACCCCGGGCATGTACTCCATGAATATAGAGAGAGTTCGCTCCATGGAGTCGCGCAGGCAGCCGTAGTACTGCACGATCCGCTCGTGGCACAGGTTCTTCAGCAGTTGGATCTCACACTCCAGAGCGCTCACCTCCTGAAGGACACAGAGCAAAGAGAATGAGAACAATACTGCTACTAATACTACAACAACTATTACTACTGCTACTAAAGTAAATAGTTGTGTCCTGATTGTGTGTCTTTCTCACCTTGCTGGTCTCGGGGCTGTCGGGGTCAAACTGCACCTGCTTCACGGCGAGCTCTCTCCCGGTGTCTGCGTCGTAACACAGGTAAACACGACCGAACGCGCCCTGCCCCAACAGCTTCCCCAGACGCCAGTTTGTGGGAGCGCGAGGAGCTGAGGACACAGGACACACGTCAGTACTTCAAACCCTGCACTGGAAACTGCACTGGAAACTGGAGTTTAACGCTGACAGTGATGTCAGATTAAATGTTGTATGTTTAATGTTTAATAGTTTGTTTTTGTCTCATTCCTAAAAGATTTCCCAAGTGGCCAATGTTGCCGTGTGTTTTTTTTAAAGTGCGTATCATTTCATTAAATCATCCCAGTGGTATCTATGAGGCAAAGCGGTGTGTCAGTTCATGTGTGTGAATGTGGAGATAAAAGCACTGCCCGTTTGCATTGACTCCAGTGGAAACAGGAGAAACTGTCCACGTGTGTCACAGGTACAAACTTCACTCTCACTGCTTTCCTCTAGGACGACTGTGTAAATGTCCACTTCAGACAGAGCGGAAAGGAAGCCACATAAGAACGTTCAATATTTTATTTAGATGGTGCCCTCCCAGAGACGCTGAGGGCCCAGGTGTCTGCGCAGAGGCCCGTGCGTCTGTCTGCAGAGGGCGGGTTTTCTGTGGCGTGTGTGATTTGAGCCATTTACTGTGCACTTCACCTCCAACAGATCTGTAACACTCACTCTGTGTTGAAATATAATTTTTGTAAAGGTGCACCAAATAATATCTCTACTGTATGCAGCAGTTTAGTTCAGACAAAAAGGGCCTCTGTCCCGTTTTAAATTCACATTAGTTTATGTTAAACATTTGGATTTTGAAAAGGGACTTGGGCCCAGGAAAAGAAATGCTCGCTTTGCTTTGAAAGTTACCTGGAGAGTCACCTGGGGGAGGTACTTCTTGCTGGGGGGGTATAAAGCAAACAGGTGTGGGCAATTACAGAAGAGACTTCTGTGCAGATTGTTTGGTGCTTTTGATTTGAGTCTCTTATTTTCTGTTTATTTGTATTTCTTTTGCATTAACTCCAGAAGTCAGTTTTAAAATAAATTTTGTCTGGTCAAAGACACTTTTTTGTCTTCTGCCTCCTGCTTTGACCACGTGGGGTCAGCTTCCCCACAAGTACACGTTTCTTTTTCTTGTTACGTGTGATTGTGATGTTTTGGTGTTTTGTCCAGGACACTCACAGCGGCTGGGCGGGCTGATGTCCATGACGGACAGCGTGGGGGCGGCGCTGGTGTTGGGTTCGATGTCGCTTCCTCTGCGCGTCCTGCGGGAGGCGCCGTCCTCCGCGTCGGGGCTGAACACGCTGCTGCCGCTGCTGGTGCTCGGGGACTGGTCTGTGGGGCTGAAATTCACCGGAGACCTGAAGCCGTGAACCTGAGTCCTCCGAGCTCGAGGGAAAGTTTTCCTCCCTGAGACAAAACACGACACGCAGAACTTTACTCATCAGTTCACATCTCAGAACTAGAACAGGTCAGAGGTTCAGATGGAGGGCAGGAGCAGAACTCTATGGGAGATTCACCGTTTATAAAGAAACTTATTTTCCACAAATGTTGAACCTTCTCATTATTTGTCTCGTCATTTTAATCTTTTGGTTTAAAGTTTAAAGCTGAAACACTCTCATAATGGCTCCATTTTCTGAAGCTACTGTGAAAAAAATCATTTGACTTTATTTCTCCTGACAGAGAAGAGGCTGAACTTTCTGACAGTTTCTGTTTCATGTGGTTAGGCCCAGGAAATATGGGTGGATGAACCATAAACCACAAACCAGGTCAACACATCTGCAACTAAATCTGCACAAAAAGTCTCTTTAGTTTGTGTTTAGCCTGATTGATTCTTGCGTATCACTAAGGCAGTGATGATCAAAATATAAAACTATTTCTGCTATAACTTTAAGCAAACAAAAGGCAAAACATTTCCTAAATACACCTGCAACATTTTGATCTTTATAACCGTGCAAACTAAAACAATAAAACTACCCTTAGCTCACTTAGCTGGTGGTGGGATTAAATAAGTTTTCTTCTTCCCACTCCTTTTTGGGCCACTTTAAAATGTTTTGTTGTTGTTATTTCTGTTATAATTTCATTAATGTTATATGTTCCATTGTAAAAGAATGTACATTTCTTACTTGCCCAAAATAAACACATAAATCTCAATCTCAAAGGAAAGCGGCGGCGGCGGCGTCTTACCGTCGCTGTAGTCTTGAGGGCTGAAGGGAACGCCGTAGCGCCGCGGATATGTTCCTCCTTTCCCCGATTTTTCAAACACCGGGATGTCGTACTCTGAAGGAGATGAACAAAACAAAAGAATAGGCTCAAAATACTTTTAATTCAAGACTGAAAAATCAACTGTGAAACGACTCCAAGAATCCCATGCAGAAGGTCTTATTTATCCAAACCCATTCTTCTTATTATTATATTATTCTCTTTTGTTCAAGGCGCTGACCTCATGTAATATTTATTCTACCATATTTCCTTCCACCATAAATTCCGGACTATAAGCCGCTACTTTTTTTTCTAACACTTTGAACTCTGCGGCGAATAAAACGATGCGGCGAATATAAGGACGGATTCTTTGTTTGGCACATTGTCCCTTCATATAAACGGTTTATGGTTTGGAAACACAGCGGATATGCACAGCCTGAGTACAAAAAACACCGCTGTCTGTGCTACATGAGCTCGCGATATCGTCAGCGCTCTCAAACAGTTTATCTCTGTGTGATAAAATAAATTCTGATGCTAAATGAACATTAGTGAGGGGCACACGTCTTAACCGTGTGTGTAAATGACGAGAAGAAACGTCTCAAACATCAGAAGCCCGAACATCCACTCACACCTGATCCATACACCTGTCCCCGCCCCCGAGAGAGTCTGAAATCTGCTGAAATCCTCCAACACACTGACATGATACAGACAGAACAGAGGCTCTTTCTGCAGGAGACATGAGCAGGGAGAGACGCCGAGGAAGTTTCTAGTTCAACTGTGTTTTGAACAGTTATTTTGTGATTCATACACAAACCCTCCTCATGGAAAACACAAAGAAACACAGATGATGCAGCTTTTAAGTTAAAGTTAAATCGATCGATGTGTCTGCGGAAGAAAGAAACAGAGCTGCTGCTGCACGTGAACTCGACGCCAGTGAGTCGATGGTGAGATTTTGGCGACGGCAGCGTGACGAACTGACGCAACAAGACGACAAAAACTTTCAGAGGCAATAAAAGCAGAAGGCTGAACTTGAAAACGTGGACACCTGCCGCTTATATTCAGGTACGGTCTCTATATGTACACTTTTAAAATTTTGTTAAAATTTGCGGTTTATATTCAGGTGCGCTCAATAGTCTGGAATTTACGGTACTATGATTTTAGTTGAAAATATACCTGGAAAGTCCTGATGGTTGTCCGGGTAACTCTGCGCTCGTGGCATCCTCGACTTTGGATAATCACTGCATGAAATAAAACACATTTATAATAATAATAGTAATATTGTCTGTGTTTATCCAGAGGTTTCTAAACAGTCCAGACCTGTCGAGAGGACTGTCTAATGACGGACAGCTTCCAGACGCAGAGTTCTCCGGGCTGCTCATCGAGAGAGGGTCCAACATCTGAGGAACAAAACACAAATTCAGCTACAAAATTTATACTTCATTATTTATCTCATCGGTGTATGTCTTTACCTGGTCCATGCTCTCTGGGATGAACTCTCCTTCACTGTTGATGCTGGTGAAGGAGCCGTTTCTCGCCACCTGCTGGAGAGCGTCGGGAATGTAACCGGGAGGAGGAGAGCTGCGATCCGACTGGGAACCTGCAGCAGAAACACAAATGAAATAGTTTGATTCATTCAGAAGACTGAACACAAATGCCCCCAAAAACTAAATCAGATTCTGCAGATTACAAACTGCGAGTCGCAAAATCTGCAGCTGAAAATGGAAATCGAGCGGCAGAAAGAAAGTTTGGAGTGAGAGAGAAACTTGTGACACCGGGAGGATGCACCATGAAACTTTCCTGAAGTCATTGGATGGATGGACAAAGTCTGAACTTCAGTGACACTGAAACCATCCTGTCGGGATTCAGAAAGACCAGAATAATTCTGTAAATATAAACAGGTCTAGTCCCGGTCTAAACCAAGGTCTAAACAAGGTCTAAACCAGGTCTAAACCAGGTCTGAACTGGAAGCTGTCCTAAACCAAGTCTAGGTCTAACCGAGGTCTAAACCAGGTCTAACCATAATCAGAATTGAGACCTGGATTAAACCAAGTCAAAGACAGATCTAAACTAGGTTTAACCAAGATTTAAACCAAGATCTAAACCAAGGTCCTTCAGTGACACTGAAACCATCCTGTTGGGATTCAGAAAGCCCGGAATAATTCGGTAAATATAACCAGGTCTAGCCTCCGCTTAAACCAAGGTCTGAACAAGGTTGAAACCAGGACTAAACCAGGTCTAAACAAGGTCTTAACAAGGTCTGAACAAGGTCTAACCGAAAGTCTAAACCAGGACTAAACCAGGATTAAACCAGGACTAAACCAGGCCTGAACTGAAAGCTGTCCTAAACCAAGTCTAGGTTTAACTGAGATCAAAACCAGGACTAACCATAATCAGAATCAGGACCTGGAGTCAAAATCAGATCTAAACTCGGTCTAACCCAAGGTCTAACCCAAGGTCTAAACCAGGTCTAAACCAGGTCTAAATTAGGTCTAATCCAGGTCTAACCCGAGGTCCTTCAGTGACACTGAAACCATCCTGTCAGGATTCAGAAAGGCTAGAATAATTTTAACTGGAACTGACGCTGAGTCTGACGACAGCGACACAGAAGAGTTTGTGTCGCCCTGTTTCCCTCCGGAGGTCGAAGCCGAGTTGTTCAGAAGTGACACAGAGGATGAAGAATTGAATGGATTTAGTGATTTGGAGTGAGATGGAGAGTTTGGTTAAACTTGTTCTGTTCTGTTGTTTATGTTATAGTTTATCTGAAGAACTGTGTAAAATGTGACATCAACAGTCTGTTGTTCTCTCTTCTATTGTTTTTACTACAACTTGACTTTACACAGGAAATGTCGGCTCCTGATCTCTCATTTTATAAAATACATTTACCCCAGTGTCACTTATGTTTTTTTCTTCTTCATTACACATATTTTGGCCAGTGCGACTTATACTCCGGAGCGACTTATAGTCCGAAAAATACAGTAATATATCGATCTATCAATCTGGAGACAAAACAAATGCACGCAATTTATAAGCAGAATTATAACTCATAAAATTGCACCTTCCGCAATATCTGTTTTGACATTTATACATTATTGGCTTTTGACAGTTTAATTTAAATCCATGTGTTATTATTAATTTATTATTATTTGTTGTAGAAGTGGTGTATTTCTCACCGATGAGCGCGAGCATGTTTTTGTCTGTGCCTCTGAAGCCGGTGTTGTCCAGCTCCTCCTGAGACGGCAGCAGCTCCATGTTCGACAGGGAATTCTGGAGGGAAAAAAAACAAAACACAAAGTAAGGTTTGTGTTTTGTCCGGTGATTTTTAGAAACATGTTTTATTTATGTGAATGTATTTCTCTGCCAACCTGTGAGTTCTGCAGCACCAGGAGGATCTTCAGACTCTTCATGTGAACGCTCCGGTCCAGCAGCTCCACGGCTTTGTCCAGGTCGTCCTGCGTCGTCAGCGGGATCACCAACTGTAACGGAAAAAAACACCTTTACTATCGACATTTCTACAGGAATAATGACACTTATAATAACATCTATTCATAAATAAATAAAACAGATCATAATATAAACACTGTGGTACCTCGTTGTTGGTGTAGTGAAGGTCCATGTTTTGACCAAAAGCCACTTTCGCTTTGTCTTGGAGCTCGTCCAGTTTGACCGGTCGAGGAAACTGTAGAATCCTGCACAAACAGAGGTCGAAGTTTAAAAGTTAAAAAGGTCACAGAGACGGGCCTGACCCCAAATGCTTTTAAATGTTTCAAGCAGGTCTCAAAATCTCACCTCTTCTCCCCCTTGAACTCGAACTTTACCCGAACATCGTTCTGGAGAAAAATGCAGAATAAAATAACTTTATTTGACTAGGGCAATAATGAAACATGCTACAAATACAGTTTTTTACATTATTTTATCGATAAATTATCTTGGGTGGTTGACTTTAAACCAGACATGTCAAACTCAGGCCCGGGGGCCAAATTAGGCCTGCGATAATTATATTTGGCCCACGAGATCATATCAAATCTGTATTAGAGCTGCCCAACGCACACAGACAGACTATAGAGACATTATTTATTTAAAATGTTGTTATTATTTTACATTTTGCTTGTTCTGGATTCAGTGTTTAAGCAAAACTATTATTAAACATTTATTTGAATAAGAAAAGGTTTAACATTACAGATCTCGAAAGAAGAGAAAACATGCAGGTGTTCAATAAATATTTAGTTTGGCCCACGACTTAGTCCCAGTTTTTTAATCGGCCCTCTGTGAATTTGAGTTTGACACCTCTGCTTTAAAGCAACAATATGTAACTTTCTGGGTGTGGCACATCACCTGCCTGATTCCATGGAAATAGAATGTTAAAAAAGAAAAACATACTTTGGAACATTCTCCACGGAGACAGATATGTTTTGTGTCACACTGTGAAAGATAAGAGCAAGACAGGAACAACATTTCTACGGAGACAAGCAGGAGAAGGCCGTACTCCAGAACAAAAAAGAGTCGGGTTTGTGGTTATGCTCAGAATAAATACACACGTTTTTCAGGCCAATAAAAACAAAATAAAACAAACATACTTTCATACTGGGGCTTAAACTTTTACTTGGATGAATTTTGATTTATTAATTTATTTTGGATCCCGATAAGAGCAGTTAAAAGTGCATCACAAAAACATTTTAATTTCACTTCTAGACATTCTGTTGGTAAAAAAAGCTGAAGTATATAGAAGAGAGTTTTACAATGACTTCCACAATAAGGATGTTATTTTAAAGCAGATGTTTAGTTTATGTTATTAATTTCTTTTTTCAGACCAAGACTTTGTTTTCACTGCGCTCTTCCTCAGAGTCTCGTGATGTTGCTGTCGTCCTGCCTCCACCGGTAGAAAGACAAGCGCCAAAACCTGTTTAAATCATCTGAGCGACACGACACAGAAACATCGCGAGACTGTGAGGAAGAGCGCAGTGAAAACAAACTCTTGGTCTGAAAAAAGAACCTAATAACATAAATGATCAGAGAACCAAAATGAACCTTATTGGACTATTGCGCTCAGGAGATGTTTAGTTTTCTCTGACCTGGTTTTTGGGCGACGAGGCCTTGGGTTTGCCCAGGTCGGACAGGAACATGGCAGGTCGGCTGGAGCGGTGCAGTTCAGCCAAGTCCTGCATGATCGACTTCAGCACCTCCTGCTCATCTGAAACACAAACACGAGCAAAGAGGTAAAGATCAACAACAGGGATTTAAACTAATGATAAATAAATACATGAATAACAGGGATTTAAACAGAGACGGAGCGCGTTTTCTAGTTTTGACAACGAGCTTAATTAATGTAACCTGTGTAACTTTTCTGTTTATTTTTATTATTGCTGTTGTGCAATAAGATTTTTTTTCTTGCATGAATTTTCCTGTGCATTCTGAATCCATGTGTCATTCGTTCATTCGTTTTTCAATATAAAACCAAAAATAAGAAAACGAAAAAAACAACTATTTTCTTCATTATTTGTCTCCAAAACCAAAATGAAAAAACAGATAATGATTCGTTTTTTCAGTTTTTGATTTTGAGTTTAAATGAAGAATGGAAAAAACGGATAACAACCGTTTCCCGTTTACGTGACTTCAGTGACTGCGATGCCGGACTTTTGCACCGCATATGGACTGACCCAGGACTGATCCAGGTCCGGGACCACACCAGGACCAGGACCACACCAGGACCACACCAGGACCACACCAGGACCAGAGCGGGACCAGAGTGGGACTGAGACCAGAGCGGACTCCGAGCTTTGACTCCGAGCCTCAGCTTCGATCTCCGGTCTTGCCGTGGGCTCTGAGCCTCCGGTCTCAGCCCCGGTCTCAGCCCCGGTCTCAGCCCCGGTCTCAGCCCCGGTCTCAGCCCCGGTCTCAGCCCCGGTCTCAGCCCCGGTCTCAGCCCCGGTCTCAGCCCCGGTTGTTATCCGTTTGTTTCATTTTTCATTTAAACACAAAATCGAAAACTGAAAAAACGAATCATTATCTGTTTTTTCATTTTGGTTTTGGAGACAAATAATGAAGAAAATAGTTGTTTTTTTCATTTTCTTATTTTTGGTTTTATATTGAAAAACGAATGAACGAATGATACACGGATTCTTCTGGACTATTTACTCAAGAATTTATTATGTTATTTCCGATTGTCACTGTAGAGTAACATTAGTATTGTTGATTTCTGAGACATACTTAAAATGTCTGCGTTTATTCAACCAAAATTTTCAATAAGACTCACTAGATAAAAGCATAAATCTAACAGAAAATGAAAATGGTAGAAATATAAATGAGTGTTTCTCTTGGGAATATGTTTAATTTTGCACATTTTAACTTAATCCTAATAAAGAATAATTTAAAAGGACTTTTTTTTTTAGCTGATAAAGGTCACATCCGTGTTCTTACCCATCATTGTGGAACAGCGGTTGACCCAGGACTCCAGGAAAGAGGAGTCTCCCATCAACGGGATCCTGTCTCCTGAAACACACCAAAACAAAAACGGCAAAACGTCAAAAACTAAACCTCAGATCAGAAGATTAAACGTTAATTTCACTAAAAACAAACAAACACAGACATAAAGCTCCACATCCAAATCTCACACGACCAGATTTATGGCAATATTTGGGTTTTTTTAAAGCTGTACTGTGTAACTTTTTGGTTTTGTGATCCGTCATCCTCTTGTTTCTGTGGATTTGTCGTTCATTACTCTGCCTGGAATGTTCCACAGTGTGACTTTAACAGCGCTACCTTACATAGAGCTGCTCGATTATGGAAAAAAAATCATTATCACGATTATTTTTTAGTAACACGATGCATTTATTCAGCATTTCTCTCTCAAAAAAACACTTTGTTATCGATAATTTCCGCAAAACTTTCAAATTGAAAATAAATCCAGGCTACAAATCTGAACCTTAGAAGATTTTTGCGACGTATAAAACATAAAATGAACACAAAATAAACTTTGAACATGAAATAAAGTATAGAAAAACATAAATGCATCCAAAAATTATGTAGTTGCCTCATTTTTTTTTTATTTTAAGTGAAAAACCTTGCAATTCGATATATTGTGACATTAATTTTGACAATTTTGAGGTATTTCCGCTCTTTTTTCAGCCCGACTGATCAGAAAAGAGAAGTAAGCGACCAAGTTAGCTGAAGATTTTTTTTTTTTTTTGTATTTTAAACTCATGACTCACAAGGTTTCTGTCTTTCTGTCTCTATATAAATACACCGTTTCCTAGTAAATACTTGTTTTGGCATGAAAAATAAAAGGCGTTTGTAATCTTTATGAGAGCAGTTTGGGTCAGATAAACAGATAAAGGTCAGAGTTGAGGTTTTGCCACGCCCCCTTTTTATCTGACTCATCGACAGACAGTACATGACCATATAAGGAAATTACCGGTCGAATAAAAGACAAGTAAAGTCGTAAACTCAAAAGACGTTCAAGTGGATAAAAGGGTTTCCACACTGCATCTGCAAAACTAAAGTAAAGCAGGTGTAAAATCTGACCATAAAATAATACGGTGAGATTTTGGTGGCATAAATAATCCATAATTTACAATATTTTGGTGTATAAATGTCAATTATAGCCTCTACTGAACAGAAAAGCAATGATTATAGATTAAATATTGTTACTTCTATACATTTATAACAACATTGCAAGCATAAAGTATCATTAGTTTTACCGTTTTTTGGCTCATTTTGTTTTGTTTTTTTTAGACCACCTCCTTTTTAGTCTTCTCAATTAACGGGAAACAGTGGGTGTAATAAATAAAACTGGCACAACAATCCCATAATCACACGTCGATCATCACAGAGAGAGTTAAAATTAGACCAGGGTGACGAAATTTTCTAAATCAAAAACTGGGATTGGTGGTTGGAAATAAAAAAAATTGCGAAACGAGTGTAATAAAGCAAACTGTTCCACGCTGGGTTCATTCATGACTAACGCGCGAGTCAGCACGGTCACATTTTCTTTGTGTTTTGGTCGTTTTTAAAGCAAATTTCCTGTGTTTTAACTACTGCTTGCCTCTCTCTCTCTCTCTCTTTTTTTTTTTAATAACTGTTTTATTGGTTTTAATTAACATTTCAAAACATACAAAAACAATAGGCGAGTTTCAGCTGACGTCATTGTTATTAAAAGCCCGCGTTGCTGCTGGGAAATATTTTGGTCGGAGGCAAGAAACACGGTAGCGTCAAACACAGTGCGTAACCTCCTGTATTTATCCCCAATAATGGTAAATTCCTGCTGCATTATCGGATGCACAAATAGAAGCACGGAAGAAGGAAAATGTCTTTTTCGTATTCCGAGTGAAAAGAACCACTAACGGTGAATTAAACGACTTTCAAACATCCGCAGAGCAAACGTAGAAGATCCTAACAAACCGTGGACTCCAACAAGTTCAACAACACATCGAGACTCTTGGAGGTTTTCATCTTTTCTGCTGTGAATGGCCCAGGAGTTTCCACCAAGTCATTGTGGATATCGCCCAAGTGAATATTTGTCCAGGTAGTTGGAGATTCTGACCAGAAATTTGGTTTGGTCCAGGCTCTGTCGGGGTTGAAAAGGGAGATTTGTCGTCCATCAATGCTTATGACCAATTTCTGGTCAAATGGTCTTGGGTCGTCTGCCGTTCGAGTGGATAAATAACCGGGATCAATACCCTTTACGTGTTTTCTCGCTCCGTCCGTCATGTTGAATTAGTGTTTCTTGCCGCTGACCAAAATAATTCCCAGCATGCAACACGCACTTTTGTCAACTATGAAACTCACCTATATACAATCAAAAACAACGTAAAAACAGTCTGGAGTTACAGGTTCTTATTTAAACATGCATTTGGTATTGACATTTTTATGTATTATGTTGTTTTCCTGGTGTCATTTATGAATACATTCCATTTTTCCCATTGCTCATCGTATTTGTACTTTTCAGTTTAAGATTATATGTTATTCTTTCCATCACTGGGATATTCCCCACAATCTTGATCCAGTCTCGTTGTGCAGGTGGATCTGGTTGTATCCAATTCTTTGTAATTCCCTTTTTAGATGCAGCTAAAACAATTTTTGTCAAATACATGTCCTCGTTCCTTACTACATCAGATATTTCCCAGATACATCACCAGACATGTGTTCAGAATTCCATATGCCAGAATACTCGTTAAGGTTGTGTTTAATTGTTCCCAATATACCCTCATTTTCAGGTAACTCCAAAACACGTGTGTGATCAGCGGCCTCTCTTTACTGTCAAATTGGTCAAAAAAAAAAAGGGACAATTGGAACATTTCTTGTATGAAACTGGGACACTGTTGGGACAAGGGACACAGGCTCAAAACTGGGACTGTCCCGGGTAAATAGGAACGTCTGGTCAGGTCTGAGTTAGACGTGTTTTATGGCAATAGGATGACGAGATTTTCAAATTTAAAAAAACTAGGACGTCCCTGGATTGTGGTGGTTAGTAATAATAAAATTGCGAAACGAGCGCGTAATTAAGGAAAATCGTTCTGCGCTTGGTTCATTCATGACGAACATGTGAGTCAGTACAGTCACATTTTCTTAGCGTTTTGGTCGTTTTTAAGTATTTTATTTACACAAATGACAATGTATACCTCTCTTTACTGTTGGAAGGCGTCAAATTGGTCAAAAATACGGAAAACCTGGGACATTTTTTGTATAAAAGCGGGACAAATGAATGGTTTTGGATAAATCTGCTGGGACGGGGGATACAGGCTCAAAACTGGGACTGTCCTGGGTCTGGTCACCCTAAGTTAGTCACGTTTTATGGCAAGAGCGTAGGATGACCAGATTTTCAAAATAAAAAACTGAGATGTCCGTGGTTTGTGGTGGTTAATAATAATAAAACTGAAACGAGTGTGTAATTAAGGAAAAATGTTATGCTCTCTGTCCATTCATGACGAAAGTGTGAGTCAGTACAGTCACATTTTCTTTGCATTTTGGTCGTTTTTAAGCAGCTTTTCTGTGTTTTACCTAAACAATGACAATTTATTTACTGTTGGCAGGTGTCAAATTGGTCAAAAATACATAAAACCTGGGACATTTCTTGTATAAAACTGGGATAAATCTGTGGTTTTAGATAAATCTGTTGGGGCAGGGGATACAGACTCAAAAGAGGGACTGTCCCAGGTAAATAGAAACGTCTGGACCCTAAATTAGACGTGTTTTATGGCAATAGCATAGAGCTGTTCAAATATTTTCAAAATAAAAACTGGAACGTCCCTGGTTTGTGGTGGCTGGTAAAAATGAAACTGTGAAACAAGTGTGTCATTAAAGAAAATTGTTTTGCACTCTGCTCTAATGTGAGTCAGTATAGTCACATTTCTTTGTGTTTTGGTCATTTTTAAGAGGTTTATCTGTATGTTACTAGGGATGTAACGATATCCAAATCTCTCGGTACAATATCATCACGATATGCATCTCACAGTACGATATTTATTGTGATATTTTGAAGAGGCTGATATATTTGTAAATGAGACACTTTTTTGCTTTTAAAACACCTTGACAAGATTTTGTTGTGAATTATTTCCGTCATAATCCCAAGAATTCAAGTCAAAAACATATTTCTTCATGTTGTTTGCGCTGAAATGAATCATGTGAAATGTAGTTCCTGATGTTTATAAGATGTTGCTTCTATAAAACCATGAATTTAAGCAAAGAAACTTGTAATTCAATATATTGTGACAGCCCAGGATATTATTGTGAGATTTTTGACGATATCACGATATTTTAGTTATTGTTTCATCCCTATAGTTTACCTAAACAAATGACAATGTAAGCCTCTGTTTACAGTTTGCAGGGATCAAATTGGTCAAAAATAGTGACATGTCTTGTATAAAACTGGGCCTAATCTGCTGGGACAGAGGACACAGGCTCAAAACTGGGGCTGTCCCAGGTAAATAGAAACGTCTGGTCACCTTAAATTAGGCACATTTTATGGCAATAGTCTATGGTTATAAGATTTTTAAAATAAAAAACTGGGATGTCCCTGGTTTGTGGTGATTAGGAATAATAAAATTGTGAAACGAGTGGTAATTAAGTAAACTGTTCTGCACTCGGTTCATTCATGACTAACATGTGAGTCAGTCAGTATATGTCAGTTTGGTCACATTTTCTTTGTGTTTTGGTCATTTTTAAGCAGCTTTTCTGTATTTTTACCTCAACAAATGACAATTTATGCCTCTCTTTACTGTTGGCAGGTGTCAAATTGGTCCAAAATAGGGACACCTTGGACATTTCTTGTATAAAACTGTAATAAATCTGTTGGGACAGGGGACACAGGACTCAAAAGTGGGACTGTCCCTGGGTAAACAGAAATGTCTGGACCCTAAATTAGGCGCATTTTATAGCATTAGTATAGGATGACCAGATTTTCAAAATAAAAATTGGGACGTCTTTGGACTGTGATGGTTGGTAATAATTGAGTTATGGACTCGGCACTAATGTGAGTCAGTGTAGTCACATTTTCTTTGTGTTTTGGTCATTTTTAAGCAGCTTTTCTGTATTTTATCTACTGTTTGTCTCTCTTTATTATTGGCAGGTGTCATATTGGTCAAAAATAGTGACACCTTGGACATTTCTTGTATAAAACTGGGATAAATCTTTTGGTACAGGGGACATAGGGCTCAAAAGTGGGACTGTCCCCGGGTAAACAGAAACGTCTGGACCCCAAATTAGTCACGTTTTATGACACTATCAGAACGCTGACACAGATGCGGATTGGGGCAAACTCTAAACAAATCCGTGACAGTGACATTGTTCCGTATGACAGCGCGTTGGACGGTGCTGTTCGGGTCTTGAGGCCGGAGCGTGACCCGCAGCGGCCCGTCACTCTCCGCGGACTGACAGCCACAAACACTGCACTTGTCCCGGCCTCATTAGCGCCCAATTACCGCTCCGTGACGCGTTTTTACTCCCCCGACACCGCGCCAGAACCACTAAACAACGCATTTCACCTCCACTGCGCACGTACGCGTTCAGCAAATCACGTACGGTTGAGAAATATGAGCAGAAACAGAGCAAACGCGCCGAGCTAAGCGGCTAATCTGAGTTCCGTATACAGGGAAGTTGTCAGGCTAAGCTAAAGATGCTAACGCTAAACAAACGGCAGTAAAAGCGTCAAAACGACCGCGCGTAAAGATCTGGAGACGCGTCCGGACTCTGCGTGCACTTACCTGGATGTTGTGTGGGTTTGCGCGTTAATCCCTCATCCACAGGGCCGGTGACAGAGGCCCCGGGCCCCGCGGACAGAGGCGCACGCAGCCGCGCACAGAAGCAGAAGTTTGGCCCCGAACTTCACTCGAGTCCCGCTGGGCCACGACGGAGAGGCCCAGCCGTGGACGCTCACACCCGGCTATAATCCTCCAGGACAGAGCCGCAGCGGGGTGCCGACGGGTCCGGGCGAGTGTCTGGGGGGGTCCGGGCGGGCATGCGAGGCCGGAGCGGGACCTAAGCGCTCATTTGGACGCACTTTTGAGGCTTGTTTGTGACTGTGGAGCTTCGCTGCGCGCTGCCTCCAGCTGCGTCAAGCTGACATGACATTTACGACTGGAAGAAGTAACGCCAAAATAAGAGCGTAAAAGTCATCACTAACACAAACTACAGTCATTACAGTTTAATAATCCACCGTAAACCAGTTTTCTACCAAACCGTACACGAGCTGGCTCCATTTGTGAACTCATTTGTGAAGATGGAAACGCTTCCCCTTAAACCTCAAATCTAAAAATAAAAATAAAATTGATTGAATCTCAGAAATAAAGTTAAATGTTTAACCAAAAGTACATGTGAACATAAAAAGAGGTTGGAATCTATTAACCCTCTCCAGTGTTGGGGAGTAACAGATTACATGTACCGGAGTAATCAGAGTACAAATTATGAGCAACTGTATTCGGTTACAGTTACTGTTTCAGTGAACTAAACTAGATCTAAACCAGGTCTAAACCAGGTCTAAAACAGGTCTAAAACCAGGACTAAACCAGGATTAAAACCAGGTCTAATCTAAATCTAAACCAGGACTAATCCAGGACTAAAACCGGAGTAAAACAGGGTTTAACAGGACTAAACCAGGACTAAATCCTGCTGTGTGGACGTGTCTCCTCGTCTTCTATCAATACTATTTTTAATTTGGTTGAGTGAAGTCTGGGCTTTTCATTTTCTTTTAGCAGACAAACTTCTTATGTGAAGAAATCCGAGTCTTTGCTTCTCTACAGAAAATCAAGTAATCCAAAGTATTCAGATTACGTTACTCACTTTAAGTAATTTAATGGATTACGTTACAAACTACATTTTGGGGTAATTGACTGAATCTCAGAAATAAACTTAAATATATAACCATAAGTACATGTGAACATAAAAACGGCTATTAAATCCATTAACTCGCTCACAATCCCACGGAAATCGCCCCCAAACCATCTGTTGTCATGACGACGTGATGTTCGACCGGAAACCACATTAACCATTTTATTACAGAAGAAAAAAAAAACATTCATAAAATATCTTATAATCAACTTTAAGAATGTTACAGCTACACTCGGTCAAAGTATACATATACATATATATATTTATTTATTTATGTGTTAATTTTGTTTTGCCAAATCTCTGCGCCGTCGTGACCCGTTTTTGCGTCGCTGCGTCACTTCCGCTTAGTGTAGAATTTTCATAACATCGGAGCGGAGCAGTTCGGGCTAACGCTGCGGCTTTTGTGAACAAATCCTCTCCGAACCCACTCAGAATCGCAATGTCAGACACGGTAAGATCCGCTTTTACGCCACCCCGGAGGCTCCACGACCGGGCCACGTCTGTAATTACTCCCCGTTTTCCGTTAGATCGCGTTGGGTCGTGCTACCGCGGCCTAGCGTTGTATTATTAGCTTAGCACAGCGGCATGTTTACAGCAGCTTCTGGCAAATCTGTAATGACAAACTCTTTCATTGTTTTTAGAAAGTAGCGTTTATAGACTCCCAGCTGATATATAAATCGCATTTGTACGTTTCCTGTTATTTTCTGATCGCTGTCTAGTGTTATTAGACTTTTAAGCTTGTGTGGCTACTTTCGTTCATCACCATTTGCTCTTATTCAACAATGTGGTAGTTTTAGTCACGTAACAATCACCAAAATATCGTGATATCGCATCGTCGAAAGTCTCACAGTATATCGAATCACACGTTTCTTTGCTTAAATGCATGGTTTTATAGAAGAAACAGCTAGTAAACATCGAGAACTACATTTCCCGTGATGCATTGCAGCGCAGACAACGCGAAGATATATGTTTTTACTTGTTTTTTGCGATTATGACGGAAATAATTCACACTAAAGGCTTGTCAAGGTGTTTTAAAAGTAAAAAAGTGTCACATCTACAATTATATCAGCCAAAATATTGCAATAAATATCGTGCTGTGAGATTTGGATATCGTTAATAGTCATTTGTGGTGTTTTTGTAAAAGCCCAACAACAGATGAATATTGACAATTGGCTAAAATGTTGTGTTGTGTGTAACTTTATGAAACATACTTACTGGCAATAAAAATAAATAAATCAGAACTTTCAAGGGGAATAATGTCCAAAAAATTATATAAATGTGTTAATATTTTCACCAATGATTCTACTAAATATATTAAAAATAAACAGGAAAGGGAAGGTAATTTTGCTCTGACAGATGAAGAATGGGAAAATATGTATATAAAAACACCAATGGAGAATGACAAAATCACATAAAAGAAAGAATTTGGGTGGAAAAGTATATCACGTTGTTTTTTTTGTTTTTTAATAGCACCAAACTTAACCAAAGTGTCGATTATTCACAGGGAAATTCAGAGTTTTGGAGAAACTGTGGCTGCCAAGAGGCCCACTGTTAACGTGTGTTTCTGTCTTTAATCTGACCATCCCACTTGACTTCATAATGACGGACCTGGGCCTGAAAACACACTGCCACGGACACGATCAGTGGATATATCTCTAGAGCGTTGTGATGGAGCCGTCTATGATTCTAGGCGCTGTTTTCCCCTTAAATGTGACTGTACCCCCGCACACACACTCCGATTCATCCCACTTCTGACACCAGATGTGGCTCTATTAAAAACTCAGGCAAGATCGAATTTCCAAGTGCAGGTGGTTTTATTGCACCAGTGTCCAAAAGTGCAAAAAGATCCCAAAACAGTGCAAAAATATTTACAGTGAGCAAAAATGTCCAATAAGTATTTACAACAAAAGAAACTTGGTCTTTTAACGGCAGGAAAAAAGACTATTACAAAAAAATGAACCATCAATCAACATTTACATTATTTAAATTGAAATGTAATCTACAACATGGGATGCAGTTTGTCTAATTTGTTCTGTCTCTGTGTCATGTCAGTGTTTATCTTTTCAGAAATGCTGAAAAAAATAAAATATATATATAAAAACTTACCAAATGAACCTAAATAAATGACTAATTGTTCCGTCTGTGTGTGTGTTTCGACAGGAGGAGACTAAACCGTCCAGCCAAGACGGAGGGGACAAGAAGGACGGAGAGTACATTAAATTAAAAGTGATTGGTCAGGTACGACGTGTTGATAACAAAGACTCACGTGTGCGATTTTAAGTCACGTCTCTTTCACTTGAGGATGACTTTTGTTTTGTTTGTCTGATCCTTCTACAGGACAGCAGCGAAATCCACTTTAAGGTGAAAATGACCACACATCTAAAGAAGTTGAAGGAGTCGTATAGCCAGAGACAGGTGAGGAGCGAGTTTTGGAGACTCGTGTTTATATCAAAGTTAAATCTGCGCCCGCCGAGACGCGTTAACATCAGGACTTAACCTACGTCATGTCATTAGTGGATTATAAATATAAACACGCCGCAACCACAGAGTCAATTCAATTCAAGTTTGTTCATATGTCACATTTAAAACAAATTTAGCTGACCAAAGTGCTTCACAAACAAGTCAACAAAACAGAAGAAACAGTTACATAAACATATAAACAGAAAACATGTGAAAACTACAATAAAAACACCAAGAAAACCTGAACAGCTTGTACTAAATACCAGGGAAAAGAGGTGAGTTTTCAGATCGATCCACTCGCCAGGACTAAACCAGGTCTAAACCAGGACTAAACCAGGACTGAACCAGGTCTAAACCAGGCCTAAACAAAGACTGAACCAGGACTAAACTAGGACTAAACCAGGTGTAAACCAAGACTAAACCAGGACTAAACCAGGACTGAACCAGGTCTAAACCAGGCCTAAACAAAGACTGTACCAGGACTGAACCAGGACTAAACTAGGACTAAATCAGGTCTAAACCAGGAGCACAGCTGCCGAGTCGATCTCCTCCGCTGATGGTTTCATGTAATAAAAACACTAAAGTCTCTTTCGGTCTGGTCCATTGTTCCAGGAAAAGACTCAAGTATTTTTATTTATTTTCTCCCGTTCGTCGTGTGTGATCACTACTCGCCCGTAAAATTCCATAACATTAAAACTCGCCCGTTTCAGTGACTATTTACGGAGACCCGACCCGGTGCAGGACTCTGGCCCAAAGTAAGACCAGAGGATGTGACAAAACATTTTTCAGTGATTTAATCTCCTATTAATCAACATTTTGATTCTGTTTTGTTTTGTTGCTTTCAGTAATTATTTCCTGATCATAAATAACCAAGATAGATTTATAATGAATGCCATAAAAATGTCTTTCCCCGAAGTCTAAACTCCAAACCACATTGTTTTGTTTTCCTGACAGCGGCTCGGCTCCGGTCACGAGCTGATCATTGACTATTAGAAATAACTTTATCTCAATCCTGATTAAAAATTGATTATTAATTGCACAGCCCAACCTCAGTGACACAACAACAGCTCTGGTATGACTAAACTTATTGGTGGAAGAGAGATTTCGTTTGGTATTAAATTAAATAGTTAAGAATCTAAAGTCCAGTACAATTTCCTTTATTAAATGTTTAAAAACGTGGTTATTTCTTGTTTTATGTGTGTTTTCATCTCACTGACCGACCGTGTGTTTGTGCTTTTGTGTGTTTTTTGTCTCAGGGCGTCGCAGCGAGCGCGTTAAGATTTTTGTTTGAAGGGCAAAGAATCGCAGATAACCAGACTCCAAAAGAGGTGAGTGTCTGGTAGAAAAGCATGTCGTATGTTGTTTTCTATTTTTGTTTTTGTAAAGGTTTGGGAGCAAGTTTGTCAGAGGAGGAGAAGAGAGGGTCAAAGGAATAGAGGAACAGAGGAGAGGGTCAGAAGGAGCAGAGGAGGTTCAGAGGAACAGAGGAGAGGATCAGAGTAATGGGAGCAGATGACAGGGTCAGAAGGAGCAGAGGAATAGAGGAACGGAGAAGAAGGTCAGAAGGAGCAGAAGAACAGAACAAGGTCAGATGGTGTAGAGGAGCAGAGGGTCAGGATGAAGCAGGGGAACAGATGAGAAGGTCTGATGGAGCAGAGGAGAGGGTCAGAAGAGTAGAGAATTCAGAGAAGTGGGCAGAGGAGGAGAGGAACAGAGGAGAGGGGCAGAAGGAGCAGAAGAACAGGAGTGGGTCAGAAGAAACAGAGGAACAGTTGAGAAGGTCTGATGGAGCAGAGGAGAGGGTCAGAGGGGTAGAGAATTCAGAGAAGAGGGCAGAGGAAGAGAGGAACAGAGGAGAGGGTCAGATGAAGCAGGGGAACAGATGAGAAGGTCTGATGGAACAGAGGAGAGGGTCAGGAGGGTCAGAGGAACAGAAAAAATAATCAGATGGAGCAGAGGAACAGAGGAGAGAGTCAAATGAAGCAGGGGAACAGATGAGAAGGTCTGATGGAACAGAGGAGCAGAGAAGATGGACAGAGGAACAAAGGAGTGGGTCAGAAGAACCGAGGAGCAGGGGAGGGGATCAGATGGAACAGAGGAGAAGGTCAGAAGGAACAGATGAACAGAGAAGAGGGTCAGAGGAGAGGGTCTGAGAAATGGAGGAGAAGATCAGGAGGAACAGAGGATTAAACTTTCTTCTCTTTTGTCTCATTGCAGTTGGGGATGGAGGACGAAGACGTGATTGAGGTTTATCAGGAACAGACTGGCGGACTCTGGAACAATTAATTCCCCCCCTCACCTTTTCCCCACCTCTTTTTTTGTTTTTTTTTGTTTTGTTTTTTTCTTAATTTTGTATTTTATTTTGTATGTATTACGATGTTTTATTTTGTTTATTTTCAAACCATCTGCATCCACGCGCCGCCGGTCAGGGCTCTGGAGAAAGAAAGAGAAAGAGAAACGTCAAAGGGATGAGTCAAGCAATACATTTTTCCTCCACGCATTTTTCTTAAGACACTTCCTCACCTTCTGGACTGTAGACTGCTGTCCCGGGTTGCTTTCTCAGACGTGTCGCTGGAAGAAAAACGACAATAATAATCACGTGTTGTTTTATTGTGTTGTTTAATTGATAGAATGTTTTAGTTTTTAGAAAATCGCTCATGACGTTTTGAAGGAGAAGTACGAATTTCCGCGTTTTTAATATTTGAATTTGCCCAAATCGTCGGGACTTTAAAGGCGCTGTGTCTGTTTTTTTACTGTTTCAAAATGTGAAAAACGGAGCTAGAACGTTTTAAACCGTCGGCGCAGTGGTCCAATTTTATTCCTCGTTGTAATTTGTCGCCAAAAGGAGTTTATAAAAGCGTTTTCACGGCAAGAACGGAGTCGAAAAAATCAGGTACAGTGCCTTTAATTTGCGATTTTCGTGAAATTATCCAACTTCTCCTTTAAAATGATTTTGATAGTTCTTGTTACAAAACTAAAGCCCAGATTTCTGTCGCCGTACCTCTGTCTTTCTTAAAAAAACGGGTAAACTGGCTGCTAGTGCTACTGTTTGGGCTTTGCTTTTCAACATTACCTATTAAAATAACATTATGGAATAAAATCAAATCTGTTTGTAATATTCATTCTGTAGGTCGCTGCTAGTTTTTACAGTTTTGTCACTTTGTTTTTGTTTGTTTTTTAAATCGGGGATGTTATAATCTTCATATTTCAGGATGTATTTACTTCATTTCTGTTTTGGCTGCAAAGTCGGCGTATTGTTTTGAAAAATTGTGATGAAATTTACACGGAAAAAACCAAAACCTTTTTATGTTGGGTTTTCTCGCGTTATCGGCTGGTTTTCCGGGAGACTTTGTACATTGTAAAGTGCCATCTCGCTCCATTTCAACACTGCATTGATCGAACTGTACAAATCTGTGTATTTATAATGTCTATTCAACTCTGGTCGCTTTTTAACTGTATTACCTGTATATGTGTGATAGTATTAGACAGAATTTCTCATGTAACTTTGTATGTCGTCATTTATTTAAAGCTAGACGTTTATTTTGGAGAAAAAAATTGCCTCAAAAACCACAGTTAACCCGCAGATCTGTCTTGGACCAAGCAAAACTTTTTATTAATCTGCAATTTCAGACACATTTCGAGGCGTGTGGATGAATTTCAAAGCAATAATTGGCCAAAAATCCATAATTACTCAAGTAAACGCATTTATTTTATAGTAGAAAGTTGTTTCAGACCCCTACAGTAATTTGAGTTTTTGTCCAGATTTTTCAAAATGTTCTAAAAATACTCCAGCGTTTCTTAATCTTTCTACAACAGTGTAATGAGGAACTTTTCCAGCTCCATTGAAATAGTAAAAAAGTAAAAGAGTAACTTTGATTTTATTGCAGATTAAATGAGCTTGTCTTGACTCTGACTTGTGCATGTGTCGGTGCAGATGGTTTGAAATTACAGAGCTGTTTGTTCTTTTGGAATAAAATATGCAAAACTACAAAAAAAAAAAAAAAAAAAAAAAGGGTTTTAGTGGTTCTTGATGATAAGTGAACTGTAGACGAGGGCTGGTGTCGTTGCCGATACGATACCTCGATACACAGGCCACGATACTGATAAAGCTTTCAACATTTTCAATAATCAACAAAAGACGGAAACAGAAAAGACTAGAATCTATTAAAACTGTAACAACTCCGTACAGAACAGTTCTTTTCAGAGCATTAGTCCTGCACAGTGGCTTGTTTTTTGTTCCACACTGATCACTAGAGGGCAGTAGTTGTCAAAAGGGTCAATGGCCTTTATAAAGAACACACATTTTTACAAAACAGAATAAAGCGAAAGAGAAGGTCTCACACATGACGCTCACTCTGGTCCTGCCGCTGTAATTTAGTCTTTATTTATTTATTTAGAACATTTATATTGTCACAAAGACGCTTTACAGAGCATTATTCATTCACCTAGTGATGGTAAACTACTGTTGTAGCCACAGCTGCCCTGGGGCAGACTGACAGAAGCACGGCTGCCAAGCCAATTGGCGCCAACGGTCCCTCCGACCACCACTCGTGCACACACCACTTTCATACTGACCAATCAGCTGTGATCTGTGAAGTCATGACGTGGTGGTCGTGGCGTCTGTCTGTGTCCCTTTTGTGTTTCAGCACAACAGTAAACGTTGCGTGGAGATGGACGTAGACGAAGACAGACATTCTGTGTCGGCAACGATTCCCCAGATCCCCGAGGATTTAAAGCCGGAACAGAGAGAATATATGGTGAATTTTATCAAGAGGAAAGATGTTATTGTCCTTCTTCATATGGGATTTGGAGCATTACATACATCACGACCAAACAGCGAATACTAATGCTGCGAGAAAGTGAAACCGGCGGATGAGGCTAATAGGACTTGGGGAACAAGAAAAAATGATTTAAAATAGGATTTCATAGTAAAGTTCTGTGAGCAAATGAGGATTATACTGATATTACTGATATTACATTCAAATGACAGAAACAAGGCCCCACATTTGGTCTGGTGCATTCACATTTCATTTTATTCTGATAAGATTAAATTCGAGTCGTTATTCTTAGAAAAGGGTGAAAAATATGCACAAGGTCTTATATTTGAGACGGTTATAACATTTTAGCAACAGTGTTTGTCAATAGTCAACTGTTCAAGATTCCACCTTAGATATAAATGTTGTACACCCCCAGGATGATGTCACTGCTGTTATTACTACTACTTATTTATTTATTTAACGATTTCATGAAAGGGAAAAACAAAAGCATTGTCAAATTGTAAAAACTGAAAATGAGGTATTTTTGAGAATCATGAAATAAACACGAGTCAGATCAGTTGAAAGTCAAACTGAAACGAGGGAAAAGAAATATCAAATTATACAGATACAACACAGATTTTAGTTTAGTTTAGTTTTAGTTTTTTAGTAGACTTTTTTTTTTTTTTTTTTTTGCGTAACATTTCTTTATTACGACTTTATTGTGTCATAAAACTGTTATTGCTTTGAATGTTCCAGTGTGTGATAATAAACCAAATTATCTTATATTTTTTCAGTTACAGACGTTTTTATAACTGGTCAGGTGGAGTCACCTGCTCGTCTCCATGGAGACTGTCACACATCTCAAAACTGACCTTTGTCGCTTCAGCTCCTTAGAACTTATGTGGGGTTGTGGTTTGTTTCTCTCATGTGTGTTTGAGCAATCCTCCCACCTTGTGACATCATCATGTGGTAAGCCAAAAGTGCTCCTCTGTGTTTTTAAAGTTCGTTCACTACTGTCCAAGTCTCACGATACGATATCGACACAGTATGAACCTCACAGTACGATATTTATATATGATACTGTGGGAGAGCTCACGATATTATGATATTTTACATAACAAGAGTGACATTATAAATACTTTGAGCATCATTTGGTAAAACATTTATTGTCATTTTCATATCAGTGACATTTTGAACAGACTGAAAAGTCTTTGAAGTTGAAGGGTAAAATTCAAGTAACAAATAAACAATTGTAAAAAAAGTCGTCAGGAGCCTCACGGAGAAAGTCCGACAGAAGCTGAACCACATCAGCGCAAAAGGAGGAGCTGTTGTTTTTTATTTTTCAGAGTTTATAGTTTATACAAATGAGTCATGTGGTTTTAAGTGTGAAGAATCCCTCAGTCGTCCAGGCTGCTTCTTCAGTTCATGAACAGCTCCAGAACTGAAGAAGCAGCTTGGACGAGCTGCTGCAAAACGTCTTCAACCAAACTAACTTTTGTCCAGTCAACAAACTGAATTTTCTCCTCGCCACGTGCTTTAAAGTTTTGTTTCTGTAAAACGTAAACAAATGTGTCAAAGCTGCATTAAACAAATTATTGCTCAATGTATATTTGAGTGCTCCTCATGAGAAATAAAAAAACATGATGGTATTTTATATTTCAGCTCCAGTTTATCCTCTGACCTTTTAAACCCGACGGCGTCACTGTGGAAAATGCAAATCACTCTCTTTATTTTCTGTGATGTATTTGGTTATTTCTCTGTTGTAAAAGCTTCACGTAGAGTTTTTTGTCCCGACTTGATTTTCTGAACACATTCTTGAACATTTTCATCATGTCGGTTTATCACGTGACTTCTGATGTTGTAGTTTTTTTTCGAGGTGAACCTCACACTGCGTTGTGTCTACACTCTGTCCGTCACATTTTCTCTTTTCTTGTTTTGTGTCAAGACAAAAACAAAACGCTTCTAGACCTCAGACTTAAAACAGGGTGTCCCCAGGTTTGACTACTCCAAATTTAAGACTTTTTAAAGACGAAAACTAAGGCCGACATCGCACCAACATCGCATCCAGTTCTAATAATGACCAACCAACTATTATATCGAGAATACAAGAGCCATGATCCATCCAACATCTTCCTCTACTGATTGTTTACTCTTTGCCGCCGGCGCCAGAAAACAAAATATTGTTTGCTCATACTCCAAATTAGACGTTCATTCATGTGGTTATTGTTCCTCCATCTGTTTAACTTTGCACTACAGACCGACTGAGTACACAAAAAAAGGAATGAAATTTAAGACATTTGTGAAAAAAATAAGACTTGGACAACATCATTTAAGACTTTTTAAGGCCTTCATTAAGGAACATGAAATTTAAGACCTTTTTAAGACTGTTAAGACCCAGTGGCTGCCCTCTAAAGGCGTACAGACCGATGACGCGGCCGCAAAGGATTATGGTCCATGTAGTTTACTGTACGCCACCAGAGTCGACTGAAAATTCTTATTTTTACCTAAAGACACACAGTTTAATACGAGACGAGACCGTGACGATATTGTGTCAGTTTTACTGATATCGCCAATATCGTTACAGGCCTCGATTCGATATATTGTGACAGCCCACGATATTATAGTGAGACTTTTTGACATCACGATATTTTTGTTATTGTTACGTCCCTCGTCTTAAACATCCATATTTTTCAGTAAACATCTGCAGTTAAATAAATACAAATTAGATCATTTACATTTTGAAAATTCAAGGAAAAGAAAAAACATCGTCAATCCAAAAAGTTCCAGACAGTCCAGAGCTCAGTTAAGTTTTTTTCTTTGCGGTTGTGGCTCATTTTTCAGAAAACAGCAGATCAAACTTCGCTTTATTCACCTCAGTAACCACTTTAAACAGTTCAGTAAACAGCTTATAGAAAAGTTTTGAGCTTTTCGATTGGCTCAGAGGTTTTGTGGGCGGGGCCAGGGACAGGTAAACAACCCCGGGCGTCTTTTCTTAAAGCCGCACTTCATCAAACTCAAATGCCAGGTTGTCTTTGCCTTCTCTTTTCTTCTTAAAACTTCCCATTTCCTCTTTCGGGAATTTGTAGGAAATGTTGATCGCCGCCGTGACGACCAGGAGAGCCACGCCCACCAGCCCCGCCCACACGGCCCCGCCCACCCGCTGCGCCTTCGGGGACTCCGGGATCCTGAATTCGCCCGGGAATTGTATCGGGTGATCGGTCAAGACGGCGGCGAGGTTCCACAGGAGCGGGATTAGCGCCAGAACGGCCGCCAGAAGTGTGGACGCGCCTCCGAGGCAAAACGCAAACCGTGTGAGCGATTTTATCCCGAAAAAGGTGTTCCGTAAAGCGTAAATTCCACATACGAATCCCAAAAGTCCAAATCCCAAAGAGAGAAACATTAAAATTTGAGCGGCGGCGATTTCCGGAGGCGTGAAGGCGTCGTGGAAGCGGATGTAGGAGCAGCGCATGATCAGGAGTCCAGGGGAGGGTTCTTCCTGCGAGTAAAAACAGACTCTCCAGATCCCGATCCAAGCGATGCCGGAAGAATCGGGCAACGTGGGTGAGAAGAACCAGACGCGCCACTGGACCAGGCCCACGGACATGGCCAGGAGAGTCCAGCCCACCAGGCCCAGGGGGAAGACTCCGAGCTGGGCCTGAGCTGAGTGCACGAGGTACGGCATCTGGAGGAATGGGAGGAACCAGGACTTAACCAGGACTAAACCAAGACTTAATCAAGACTAAACCAGGACTGAACCAAGGACTGAACCAGTACTTAATCAGGGCTGAACTGAACTAAACCAAGACTGAACTAAGTATTAAACCAGGATTAAACTAAGACTGAAGAAGGACTAAACCAGGACTGAACCAAGGACTGAACCAGGATTAAAGAAGGACTAAATCAGGACTAAATTAAGACTTAGCCAGGAGTAAAACAGAACTAAACCAGGACTAAACCAAGGACTAATCCAAGGACTAAACCAAGGCTAAACTAAAACTAAATCAGGACTAAATCCGGATAAAAGAAGATTAAAGAAATAAGGACTAAACCAAGACTTAACAAGGACTGAACCACCATTAAAGAAGGACCAAATCAGGACTAAACCAAGGCTAAACTAAGACTAAACCAGGACTAAACAAAGACTAAATTAAGATAAAATCAGGACTAAACCAAGACTGAACCAGGATTACACCAAGACTGAACCAGGACTAAACCAGAACTGAACCTGGATTAAAGAAGGACTAATCAGGACTAAACCAAGACTTAACTAAGGACTGAAGAAGGACTAAACCAGGGGGAAACTAGGACTAAACCCGGTTTGAACTAGGGACTAAACTAGGACTATAGAAGGACTACTGCAAAGTTTAGTTTTATTGTGTAATTCTATAAGTAAAATTATATTTAAAAAAAAAAAAAAAAAAAGGAAGGAAGAAGAAAAAAACAGGACTGAGCCAGGACTAAACCAGGACTAAACTAGGACAAAACCAGATCTAAACTAGAACTAAACAAGCCCCAGACAGAAACTAAACCAAGAACTCACCAAGGTCTAAATCAGGACCAAAAAAAAAGAGCTAAACCAGGTCTAAACCAGGATTAAGTCTTGATGTTCTTGATAGATTTATGACAGGTTTCTGTTTATTTTGGTTTAGTGAAGTTTAAATATCCTGGTCCTGTTACACAAATGTTGCTTTAGCTTTGACACAGAATTTGCTTAGACCTGAGTCCTGCTCTTGGTTTGGTCCTGGTTTAGTCCATCTTTTGTCATCCCTTGTTAACCCAATTCAAGTCCCATTTTAGACCTTTTATAGAACTACACTGGCTTCCTTGTTTATCCCTCATCCCTCTTTAGGTCTAACTTTAGTCCTGGTTTGGTTTAGTCCTGGTTTAGTCCTGGTTTAGTCCTGGTTCAGTCCTGGTTTGACGTACCTTTGAGCAGTGGTTGTATCCGTTGTGTTCTGAATCATTCTCCAAAATGAAACATATTTTTACGGAATCAGACGGACACTTCCCTCTCAAGTTTCACTGCTTCCTCGTAAAGTCGAGTCAATCATTGACTTTTACGATCACAGAAGAACACGGCCCAATATTATTCAAATCCAAATGTTCTCAGGGACCACACGTAAACACAGACTAAACTAGGACTAAACCAGGACTAAACCACGACTGAAAAAGGTCTAAACCAGGACTAAACAAGGACTAAACCAGGACTAAACAAGGACTAAACCAGGACTAAACAAGGACTAAACCAGGACTAAAACAGGACTAAACAAGGACTAAACCAGGACTAAACAAGGTCTAAACCAGGACTAAACAAGGTCTAAACCAGGACTAAACAAGGACTAAACCAGGACTAAACAAGGACTAAACCAGGACTAAATAAGGTCTAAACCAGGACTAAACAAGGACTAAACAAGGACTAAACCAGGACTAAACCAGGACTAAACCACGACTGAAAAAGGTCTAAACCAGGACTAAACAAGGACTAAACCAGGACTAAACCAGGACTAAACAAGGTCTAACCAGGACTAAACAAAGTCTAAACCAGGACTAAACAAAGTCTAAACCAGGACTAAACAAGGTCTAAACCAGTGCAGACGGAACTGATTGTTTACTCACTCAAAACCAACTCACAAAAGCCAAAGTATTGTTTGTGCATCCTCCAAATTAGACGTTCATTCACATTATGTTGTTTCACGTTGTTGTTTTCCTCTCTCCATTTAACTTTGCACTACAGACCGGTTGAGTAAACAAAACAATATAAAATTTAAGACGTTTGTGAAAAAAATAAGACTTGGACAACATAACTTAAGACTTTCTAAGGCCTTAATTTAGGAACATGAAATTTAAGACCTTTTTAAGACTTTTAAGACCCTGCGTTTACCGTGTGTATCGAGATATGAATCGTATCGGCAGCTTCTTAACGACACCAGCCCCATCTATATATGAGTATATTGTAAAATCTCCAATAATTGTGTTTCTTTATAACTTTCCTTCATAACTGACTGACTCTGGCTTCTCCCGTTTATTTCAAATGATCACACAGACTCCCGGTGTATTTTCTAGATCGCTTCGGCCTTGTATTACTAAGCAGAATGTATAAAAAGTGGGCGCTGTGACCCGGTGTGACCCCTGTACAAACAGCCCTACAGTAGAAATGAATAGATCCACGTGCGTCTGTGATGAGTCAGGTCGTTTTGCACAGACGTTAGCAAAGCCATGAGCTGTATAAAGTCTATATAAAAGACACACAGGGTTCGCGCAGCATCATCGGCAACGGCTAAAACAACTCACACCATGGGCAGGGTAATAACAATCAAACGGGCCTCAATCATTTTATATCCATTTGCATTTTAGTAGAAGTGGTAATAATAGTACTAAATATCAACTTTATATTACAGAACTTTGATTAGTCTAATTATAACTTACCTCAAATTAAACCTTAGTATTTTTTTTAACTTCTTCCAATTTTTATTTTTATTTTATTTCCAAATTTTCTTTACTAAATTAAACCTTCGTATTTTTTGGAACTTCTTATAATTTTTATTTTTATTTTATCTCCAATTTTTTTTTGACTAAATTAAATCTTATTATTTTTCGGAACTTCTTATAATTTAGATTTTTATTTTATTTCCAATGTTTTTAAACTAAATCAAATCTTAGTATTTTTCATAACTTCTTCTAATGTTTATTTTTATTTTATCTCAATTTATTTTACTAAATTAAATCTTAATATTTTTCATAACTTCTTCTAATTTTTATTTTTATTTCCAAATTTGTTTTACTAAATTAAACCGTTTTTGTTTTTTTTTTTACTTCTAATTTTTATTTTATTTTATCTACAAATTTTCTTTACTAAATTAAACCACAGTATTTTTTTTAACTTCTTCTAATTTTTATATTTATTTTATGTATAATTTTTTTTTTTACTAAATTAAACCTTAGTATTTTTTTTTTCTTAAAATTTTTATTTTATCTTCAAATTTGCTTTATTAAATTAAATCTTAGTATTTTTTGTAACTTCTTCTAATTTTTATTTTTATTTTATCTCCAAATTTTCTTTACTAAATTAAACCTTAGAATTTAAAAAATAATGTCCTTTAATTAAACTTCCAATTTCGAATTTTTTTTATATTTTTTGTAATTTATTCAAACTTTTTAATATTTTATACAGTATGGCATAAATTTATCTAGCTCTGTGGAGAACGTTCCGAACTTTGGTTTTAACTTTCCGTTTCTGTCAATTCTCCACATTTGTATAATTTAATAATAAACGCACTTACCTCATGTTTACCTGTAGTATTTTGGTGTAATTCCAGATCATTTTCTACGAGGAGAGGCACTTCCAGGGCCGTTCGTTCGAGAGCAGCGGCGACAGCTCGGACCTGCTCTCTCACCTGAGCCGCTGCAGCTCGGTTCGCGTGGATAGCGGCTGCTTCGTGGTTTACGACCGACCCAACTTCACCGGGACGCAGGTGTTTCTGAGGAGAGGAGAGTATCCCGACGTGCAGAGGATCTGGAGTCAGAGCGGGATGGGAGGAGCCACTCAGATGGACACGATCCGCTCCTGTCGCATCGTTCCTATGGTAACGGATAAACAGGGACATTACAGGAGTGAAGTATGTAGTACAGCTGTAGTAGTGTAGTATGTAGTACAGTTGTAGTAGTGCAGTATATAGTACAGTTGTAGTAGTGTAGTATGTAGTACAGCTGTAGTAGTGTAGTATGTAGTACAGTTGTAGTAGTGCAGTATATAGTACAGTTATAGTAGTGCAGTAATAGTAGTTGTAGTAGTGCAGTATATAGTACAGTTATAGTAGTGTAGTATATAGTACAGTGTAGTAGTGTAGTAGTAGTAGTAGTACAGTAGTAGTAGTGTAGTAGTAGTATGTAGTACAGTTGTAGTAGTGCAGTATATAGTACAGTTGTAGTAGTGTAGTATGTAGTACAGTTGTAGTAGTGCAGTATATAGTACAGTTATAGTAGTGTAGTATGTAGTACAGTTGTAGTAGTGTAGTATGTAGTACAGTTGTAGTAGTGCAGTATATAGTACAGTTATAGTAGTGTAGTATGTAGTACAGTTATAGTAGTGTAGTATGTAGTACAGTTGTAGTAGTGCAGTATATAGTACAGTTATAGTAGTGTAGTATAGTAGTACAGTTGTAGTAGTGCAGTATATCGTACAGTTATAGTAGTGTAGTATGTAGTACAGTTGTAGTAGTGCAGTATATCGTACAGTTATAGTAGTGTAGTATATAGTACAGTTATAGTAGTGCAGTATATCGTACAGTTATAGTAGTGTAGTATGTAGTACAGTTGTAGTAGTGCAGTATATAGTACAGTTATAGTAGTGTAGTATGTAGTACAGTTGTAGTAGTGCAGTATATACGTAGTAGTAGTGTAGTATGTAGTAGTAGTGTAGTAGTGTATATAGTACAGTAGTAGTAGTAGTATAGTACAGTTATAGTAGTAGTAGTGTGTAGTAGTTAGTAGTAGTTGTAGTAGTGTAGTATAGTAGTACAGTTATAGTAGTAGTACAGTATGTAGTAGTAGTAGTAGTAGTAGTAGTGCAGTATATCGTACAGTTATAGTAGTGTAGTGTAGTATGTAGTACATAGTAGTACAGTAGTATAGTAGTACAGTAGTAGTGTAGTATGTAGTACAGTTGTAGTAGTGCAGTATATCGTACAGTTATAGTAGTGTAGTATGTAGTACAGTTGTAGTAGTGCAGTATATCGTACAGTTATAGTAGTGTAGTATGTAGTACAGTTGTAGTAGTGCAGTATATCGTACAGTTATAGTAGTGTAGTATGTAGTACAGTTGTAGTAGTGCAGTATATCGTAGAGTTATAGTAGTGTAGTATGTAGTACAGTGTAGTAGTGTAGTATATCGTACAGTTATAGTAGTGTAGTATGTAGTACAGTTGTAGTAGTGTAGTATATCGTAGAGTTATAGTAGTGTAGTATGTAGTACAGTTGTAGTAGTGCAGTATATCGTACAGTTATAGTAGTGTAGTATGTAGTACAGTTGTAGTAGTGCAGTATATAGTACAGTTATAGTAGTGTAGTATGTAGTACAGTTGTAGTAGTGTAGTATATAGTACAGTAGTAGTGTAGTAGTAGTAGTACAGTAGTATAGTAGTGTAGTATATAGTACAGTTGTAGTAGTGTAGTATGTAGTACAGTTGTAGTAGTGCAGTAGTATATAGTACAGTTATAGTAGTGTAGTAGTAGTAGTAGTACAGTTGTAGTAGTGCAGTATATAGTACAGTTATAGTAGTGTAGTATGTAGTACAGTTGTAGTAGTGCAGTATATAGTACAGTTATAGTAGTGTAGTATGTAGTAGGGATGTAACAATAACTGAAATATCGTGATGTCGTATCGTCAAAGTTCTCACAATAATATCATGGACCATAACAATATATCGAATTACAAGTCTCTTTACTTATTTTAAGAGGGAACTACATTGACCATGATCCTTTGCTCCATTTCAGTGCAGACTACAAGAAGAAATAACAATTTTAAGCACTTTTAAGTTTTAGTTTTTTGGATTAAGTCTTGTCAAGGCATTTTAAGAGGAAAAAGTAGAATATTCACAGTTTTAGCTGTTTTGCCTCCACAAAATATCGGAATAAATATCGTACTGTGAGATTTGAATACTGTTACATCTCTAATCATGAGCCTCCCCAACATATCATGAGCTTTCCCACGACATCATAATAAATATCGTGCCGTGAGGTTCATACCGTGACAATATCGTATCGTGAGACTTGGATATCGTTACACCTCTACTGACAGTTTTCAAATTCCTTTACTGTCTAATTAGCAAAGTCATAATTCAAAAGTCAATTGCAAAACACTGATTTTGAAGCAAATACTTTTTCACAATACTTTTCTCCTTAAAGGTGCACAATGTAACTTCTCTGCTGTTCTCCATGGATTAACTCACAGTGTGGCTTGAAATTACCTTGAAAACGTGACATATTTAATGCAATACTGTGGATTTTTTTCAGAAAATGCAATTACATCTCCATGGAAACAAGCAGGTGGTGGATAATACATGGGAAAATTGCAAAACGGTGTAAAATGTGATATTAAACTGAATTGATCTCCCCGTTAAACAGCTCCTACAGTCACCTGAAGAAGAATATTTGAACATTTTGCACAATGAGTTATTTATAGGAGTGTAATGATGTCCAAATCTCACGTCTCAGTAGGATATTTTCACAATATACATCTCACAGTACGATATTTATTTTGATATTTTTTGGAGGCAAAACTTAATCCAAAGAACTAAGACTTAAAAGTGTTAGAACTGTTATTTCTATTATCAATAGATGCATCACGAATTTCAGACTTTCGGTCATTGCGCAATTCATACTGGGAAGGATTCTCCGAAAAAGTGAGCATCAAACCTCCATGTCATGGTCTTTTCTAGTCTTTTGAACCATATCACTTTTGTTTCTGGTTCTGATGTTGTCATATTTTAGTTTTGGGATTCGGACATCGTTAATTGTGTGGTTGTTGGATCCTAACAGTGGAAAACAACTTGTGAAACGGCAAAGTTTTCCTTTTTGGTCCTTCCTGTGGATCAATCCTGCCCATCAAATTCACCTTTCACTATTTTTCAATTCCGTTGGAAAGAGAAACAGTTTGAACAGAGGTTTGAGTCACACACATCTGATTCACTTTTGTATTTATGGAGTTCACAAACAAATTTCTGGTCGTTTTCCGCTGTTAGGATCCAACAACCACACAATTACGAAGTCTGAATCCCAAAACTAAAATATGACAATATCAGAACCAGAAACAAAAGTGATATGGTTCAAAAGACTTGAAAAGATCCACACATCCCACTGGGAAAACAAACATGGAGGTCTGATGCTCACTTTTTCAGAAAATCCTTCCCAGTATGAATTGCGCAATGACTGGAAGTCCAAAGTTCGTGATGCGTGTATTATAGTCTACACTGAAATGGAGCAAAGGATCATGGTCTATGTAGTTCCCTCTGTATTTTTGTAGCTATTGCTGCACCATAACTCTTAATTTAAGCAAAGAGACTTGTGATTCGATAAATTGTGATGGTCCACGATGTTATTGAGCGAATTTTGATGATACAACATCACAATATTCCAGTTTTTGTTACATCTCTAGTTATTTACATTCAGTTTTGTGCAGAAATTGTCCAAGCTCAGGTGTTCTGGGTTCAAACGACATCACAAGATTCTAAAGGACAATAACATTTAAAACACATGAGGGAAGCAAATGGTTAAAATGGTTCAGATTTCTACGTGTTGTCACTCGTAGAAATGATCAGGTTCAACATTTGTGAATTTAACTTTTGGAGAATTTTCTGTGTGACGTAAATAAAACAGAATTCTTGTGGATGATTCTGTTGTTTAGTGTGATTTTCCCGTTACGTTTGCAGCACAGGGGTCAGTTCCGGATGCGCGTTTACGAGCGTGAAAACCTCCTGGGTCAGATGCACGAGCTGATGGACGACTGCGAGTCTCTGCAGGAGCGATTCTACATGTCCGACTGCCAGTCCTGCCACGTGATGGAGGGGCACTGGCTGCTCTTCGAACAGACCAACTACAGGGGGCGCCAGTTGTACGTGCGCCCGGGGGAGTACCGCAACCTCCGGGACATAGGGGGCGGTAACATGACCCGGATCAGCTCCATCAGGAGGATCACCGACAACTGCTGAGACAAAGAAAAACAAATGAGCAAACGTTGTAAAAATGTGGATTAAAAATTAAAAAATAAAAGCTGAAATACAAACCTGTTGTATCTTTTGATGTTGCTGATATAAAGACAATATTCAGTTTTAAATTATGCAGAGGAACATAAAGGAACATTATCATCATGTTCGATTAAAGTCACAGTAACGTTTAGCCAAAAATAAGCAAATCAAGAGCATCTTTAAGCATCTTTACTGTGAGAGGGCTTGCATCTCCACAAACCTGACTCATGGATGTTGTTCCTTTGCCTGTAATATTCTACATTATGGTATAAAACACAGGTGTCAAACATACAGATCCGGTCCTCCAAGACCTTTAATCTGGCCCTTGGCTGATTTTCTACTCAAATATTTTAATTCAATTTTTTATTAAAATCTTGTTAATTTTCTGTGGTGTTTATCACAGCAGCGTCTCCAGCGTCTCTGTACGTGGCCCCTCCCACCAGAGCAGCACAAATGAAGACTTGTCTCTTTCCAAACGCTCTTAAAGGACGATCGTTTTGACTGTTGACCGTGACACCCTCATCAGAAAAATGTCCAACATGAGAAAAGTGGAGCCGAGTGCAGGATTTTACAACAAAAATGGACTTATTCCTATTTATACAAGTTAATGTTAAACAAGTTCATGTTAAAACTTTGTGTTGAAATTGTATTTTTCTTAAAGTTTCAGGTTGTTCATAATATTATAATATTTTGTAAAAGAAAGAGTTCATCAATTAAAAAAGAGTTCTGTAATAGATTTGTGTTTCTCTGCACAAATATTTGAACTTATTGTTATTTTTGGGGTTTATATGACATGAGTTTTCTGATCCGGCCCCTTTGGATCAAAGTCGGTTGGATACGGCCCCCGGACCAAAATGAGTCTGACACTCCTGGTATAAAACATTTGTCTCCACTGAAAATGTTCTGAAATCATTCTGAAGTTTAGATTTGTTTTTTGGTGAAAATCTCTGGGCCTGGATGAGGCTTTTTTTCAAAAATACATTATTCACATCTGAAAAGAAAATCAACAAATCGTACAAACTTAAAATTTTAATCGTGGGTTCATACCTCGACCCTGAACAGACTGATGTAGAAAAAAAATTATAATAATACAAAAATGGGTTCAGTAGCGCCCCCTAGATAATTTGAATAGAACAATAATGTTTTATTTGTCATAGATACACAAAATTTGGCATACACATTTGTGATTAAAAAACTCTGACGCCCACACCCCTTTTACATTGTGTTGCCATGGCAGCAAGCACTCTTTCCTACATTCTGATACTTTACTTATTTCAATAGTCCCTCTAGTTTCTGAATAAGAGCTATTTGAATGTCAAAAATTTGCCCCTGTTTCCCTCCCTTACCGCTTGACCGGACCCAAACGTCTTCGACAATGTTAATCCAGTCCTCCAAGTTCGGTAGTTTGTCACTCATCCATTTTTTGGTTATTGCTTCTTGCTTGGAACCAGCAGAATGTTCCATATATATATTTTTTATTCCTTTCTTGTCATCTGCCCATTTGCCCACTAGTTGAGTTTTTCACGTTTTCACGACGGGTACAGCGCCTGAAACTTCGGACTGATATCATGATTTTTTTTTTTTTTTTTCACAAAGCCTGATAGGGTGAGTCAGTGAGTTCACGTGGGATAATGGTGGACGTTTGAAAAGAGCTGATTCGAGGGCAGATGTACAGTACGGTTTGGAAAGAGGCAGAAAGAGCTGACCAGAGCGCTGATTGTTGAGCTCCACAAAGGCCCCAGGTCAGAGGAGGATTATAAATGCAGGAGGTGCGCAGGGGCCGAGCAAGAGGAGCAGCGCACACACAAACATGGGCAAGGTAAGACTAAAAAAGCGAGTTTTTTTATCCGTATATTTGTTTTTTTAGTTTAATTACATGTCTCTGATTTTGTTAAAGCTCCTACATGACGTAAAATTGACTGATTGTGAGCTTTAAAACATGTTATATTCGTATTTCCTCGTCAAAAACAGAGCTGGAGTTGTGTTTTGTTTCATTCACGTTTGAGTAACTCTTTATTATTATTCTGTTTAAATCTCCAAAGCTCCAAACGCTCTGTTCCACTTTGTGATGAATCCGTGTGTCGTTCGTTCGTTTTTCAATATTAAACCAAAAATAAGGAAATGAAAAAAACTACTATTTTCTTCATTACTTGTCTCCAAAACCAAAATGAAAAAACAGATAATGATTTGTTTTTTCAGTTTTCGATTTTGTGTTTAAATGAAAAATGGAAAAATCAAATAAAGGCCGTTTCCCGTTTACGTGACTTAAACTGCGATGGACTAAACCAGGAATAAACCATTTTCAGTCCTGGTCTGGTCCCGGTCTCAGTCCTGGTCTCAGTCCCAGTCCTGTTCCTGGTCTCAGTCCCGGTCTCAGTTCTGGTCTGGTCCCGGCCTCGGTCCCGGCCTCAGTCCCGGACCTGGTTTAGTCCTGGTTCAGTCCTGGTTTAGTAGTTTAGACTTGGTTTAGACCTGGTTTTAGTCCTGATTTTAGCTCTGGTTTAGACCCAGTTTGGACCTAGATTTAGTCCTGGTTTAGTGCTGGTTTAGACCTGGTTTTAGTCATGATTTTAGTCCTGGTTTAGACCTGGTTTAGACCTAGATTTAGTCCTGGATTAGACCTGGTTTTAGTCCTGGTTTAGACCTGGTTTTAGTTCTGATTTTAGTCCTAGTTTAGACCTGATTTTAGTCCTGGTTTAGACCTGGTTTTAGTTCTGATTTTAGTCCTAGTTTAGCCCTGGTTTTAGTTCTAGTTTAGTCCTGGTTCAGTCTGTTTTCACCTGTTGAAAACTGCTGTTCTAGACAAAGCTTTAACATTTCCGTGGAGATGAGCAGGTGACGGTCCCTCCACTAGAAAAATTATTATAAAATGAAACTGATTACTGATGCTTTTTTTTGTTTTGTTTTCAGATCACGTTTTACGAGGACAGGAACTTCCAGGGGCGTAACTATGAGTGCAGCAGCGAGTGTTCAGACCTGCACTCTCACTTCAGCCGCTGTAACTCCATCAGGGTCGACTCCGGAGCCTGGATGGTTTACGAGCGCCCCAACTACAGCGGGTACCAGTACTACCTGCGCCGAGGGGAGTACCCCGACTACCAGAGGTGGATGGGCTTCAACGACTGCGTGCGCTCCTGCAGAATGATCCCCAGCGTGAGTGACGAGCGCAAATGTACCGGGATTTTTCATAGAGAATTTATCCAGGAGGGTTGTGTTTTGTTTCATTCACACGTGTTTAAACTCCAAACACTTTCACCGACCTAAAAGATAAACTGATACTAAAAAAGTTCCATTGACAGGACAGAGCAGAACCTTTCCTGAACAGTTTTAGAATGATCTGGAGATGAATCAGAACAAGTTTAAGAGCACAAAGTTTAGTACACGCCCACAGACCAATATGGAACCTCCCTGGACAACTGAGGGATCACACAGATATAAGGACAAATGGGAATAGAAAAGAAAGTTGTACCATATAAGGTGGAAAATCACAGTATACTGTCGAAAGAAAGAGTGTTTTTATTATCATCGTGATATCGGAATCAGTACTGAGTATCAACTAGGGCTGAATGATTTTAAGAAAATATTAAATTGCGATTTTTCTGACAGATGTTGCGATTTCGATTTCATCCATGATTTTTTTTTTTTTCTCAAATCAAGTTTCAGTGCACATGAACATTTGCAAACATCACAGAAACTTAAACCAGGACTAAAACAAGACTAAACCAGGACTGAATCAGGACTACACCAGGTCTAAACCAGGTCTTTGATTAATTATTAATATTTTTTATATTAAAATGATAATCATTATTATTACTATTAGTAATCTACATAAATAAACTCAACTTTACAACATATAAACCATCACCACCATAGAACCGCATCAGCCTGTTTGACATTATAATGTGTTTAATTCAGCTTTGACACTTTTGTTTACGTTTTACACAAACTAAACTTAAAACCTCATGACTCATTTGCATAGAATTTAAGCGCTGAAAAGAACAACTCTTTCCTTGTGCGCTGATGTTGGACTAAAGGACACGACTCAGTGGAATATTTGTGTTCTTTCTGTGGCAGAGGGGTGTTGATGATGCATGTTGAAGAAAAAAAAACCTGGGTCAGTAAGGAGCACTGCAAAAAACAGCGGCTTTAACACTCCCAAAATCATGTTGTCTGCGGTCGCAATTTTCAGTTGAAAACGATAGATCATTCAGCCCTAGTGTCAAGTCTATTCCTTAGTAGTGAAATTGAGTTTGAAATAATAACTAAACCTAATTTCAAACAATTTCCGTTGCTCCACAGCACCAGGGCTCTCACCGGATGCAGATCTACGAGCGTCCTGAGTTCGGGGGGCAGATGATGGAGCTGACGGACGACTGCCCCTCCCTCTACGACCGCTTCCACTTCAACGACATCCACTCGTGCACCGTGAACGAGGGCCACTGGATCTTCTACGAGCAGCCGCACTACAGGGGGCGCCAGTACCTCATGGGCCCGGGCCAGTACCGCCGCTTCAACGAGTGGGGAGGCGTCAGTCCCAGGGTCGGGTCCATACGCAGGATCATGTGAATGTGTGAATGAACTTTGTCAATAAAGATGAGTCAGAATGAGCACGGGAGTCTTGTGTAAGATTCTTTTACATCAACTACATCATAAACTAGAGCCGCACCATTCACGAAGAAAATATAACTACATCATAAACTAGAGTTGCACCAGTCGGGAAGAAAATATAACTGAGATCTTTCTGACAAATAGTGTGATTTTTCGATTAGATTTGCGATATTTGTTAGTAGAATTCTGTTCGGAGCTCATTGAAGACTGAAATATGAACTCATAAACTAATATAAGAATCCCAAGTATTTCAGAACATGTTTGTAGAACAAAGGTCTAAACTACTGTTATTTTGTTTTTTGCAGAGGATATACTATTATTATTTTTTCCATGGGGCCACATGAGAAACAGAAAATATTGTGGAGGCCAAACTGTTTAACTCAGGCATGTCCAAACTATGGCCCGTGGGCCAAATGCGGCCCTCTGACAATTTTTTCTTGGCCCTCAGGCTTCCAGGTGACTTGGCCCAAATTACCTTACATCAATTAAAAATGTACTTTTTACTGCAAGGTTTTTCAAAATCTACCTTGATAAAGCTAATATTTAATATTTAGTGTGTGGTTTTAAGGATCTTAGCATGAATAAAGACTGACGGCTCATTCTAATGTGTTAAACATGCACATATTTCAATTATTCACTGTACTGAGTGCCAGTCTACAGCCCTCGATCGCCCTTCTGCTTCATCTGTGTTTAGAGATGTGGCCCTTGATGAAAAAAGTTTGGACACCCCTTGTTTAACTCAATTCTGCATAATATTTATTGTATTTCTTTATTTAAAAAAAGTAGTTAATCATATTGCTTTGACGAGATGCTCAGACTGGGAAGAGTTTGTCTTATGACTAAACAATGAAAAAGCGGTCATCTTACAAAAAATACAAGCAACACAGAGTTAGTCTGTGCATGAGGTAAAATGATAAAATATGTTTATTTTGTAATTTCAAATGAGATTAAACAGGCCAGTCAGAGTTGAACAAAGAGCCAAATGTGGCCCGGAGCTCGACAAGGCCCAGGTCTGATCTGAAAAATTGCAGTACTGTATTTTTTGGATTATAGACAGTGCGCCTTATGTATTAATTCTGGTTGTGTTTACTAACTTCAAACAGATTTTCACACATATTCCACTGAGTCGTATCTTTAGTCTGACAGAAGCTGAACCACATCAAAGAGCAAGCTCTTTTTTTATCACTTATAGTTTATGCAAATGAGACTTGTGGTTTTAAATTTTAGTTCTGTAAAATGTAAACAAATGTGCGCAAAGCTGCATTAAACACATTATTACTCAATGTATATTTGAGTCGTCCTCGTAGGAAATAAAAAAGTCTCAAGTCTCAAGTGTCGTCCGTTTGTTTTGTTTAATGCGCCTTAAAATCCGGTGTGCTTTATAATCTGAAAAATACGGTAAATACAATTTGATAATTATGGAATATGTATCTGTCTCTGTACCTGTATGTGTATATGTGTGAAAATATGTATTAATCAAAATATAAATATTGTAGAGGCCTTTCATTAAATATGGGCCCAGTACAGTTTAGAAAAATACTGAACGGTCATTTTTGACAAGCAGTTTACGCTACAGGCTGTTATTACTATATATAATGTTATAATGTTATGTGACCAGTTTGACAGCTTTTTTTGCCTAAGCTGAACGTTCACTCCCAAAACCAAAGGACCTGCAGCTCCTCGTGCTGCCTCAAGTCTTCAGAACGGCCTGTCCATGTATCAGAGAGTAAACACGTAAAACTTTAAGTAAATGTTGATTATAAAACAGTGTTGATTAGTGACATTTATAATATTGTTTAGGCTGTGAGTTTGAGCACAGACAGGTCAAACTTTGTAAACAAACTTTTATTTTAAACAACTTTGGGAACATTTCTGAAACATACTGATCCCTCAGATTGAACAAGGATGAATTCCAGCGTACGAGACGATATTGAACATTTCGTGACATTCAGACAGTGAACAGTGTGAGTGTGATATGAGTCCAGGTAAAAAGTCACATTTAAAGTCTTTCAGAACAATGAACATCTTTCTACCACCACTATGTGACTTTTCTGGTTTCTGGGGTCTGCCATGTCCTTGTTTCCATGAAGATGTTATTATTTTTGCTTGGAATATTTCTCAGTACAGCATTAAACATATTTATCTCGCTTTTGTTGAATTACAGGCGCTGAAGAACACAACAAAACCGTGCATTCTTACCTGTAACTCCAAAAGTTCCATGGATGTAGATATGTTTGTGAAAGATTCTAGTTCAGCTTTAAGAAAATACCTAAATATGTTTTTCACCGAGATGTGGCAGATTATATGACTAGCTCATGAGCTATTTAACCTGTAGACACATTTTTGTAGATTTTAGAGAATTATTTGTTTCTGAATGAAGAGACGACGATCCAAGTCAGATCCAGATTAAATGCATGTATAAAAATGTGAATACATTAGAGGAACAAATGCATAGCGTTCAGACATTTAAAAACATATTAAAGTGCATATGACAGGTTTTCAGATTTTCATATTCTGACTTGGTTTGGTGAAGAGTAACTGTGTTTTAAATTTATCATAATTTCACATAAGTTAAGTGGCAGTTTGTGGGGAAAAAAAAACAGAAAGTAGTATAAAAACATTTCAAAAGGAGCGAGGTCAAGAGGAAAATACAAAGTAGATAAAACTCATTGTTGCTCTTTGGGGAAGGGAAGTCAATTTAAAGATGCAAAAAAAACCCAAGGCACTCACCGGTTAAAATAAAATACCTTTATTAATTTACGGCATGTCTTAATTCCTCAGGGGACAAACCGAATTCTGACTGAACCATGTGAGTTAAACACAGGAAAACCACCAACAGAACTGCTCCACCTGGAAGAAGAAGAGATTCACCTGTGGACATGACCTGAGACACGCTACAAGAGGGCAGTGTTACAACCATGGGACCCCCTGGAGTTAACATTAGTGTTTTATATATTCTATTGTCTCCCACGGGTCTAACACTGCCCTCTTGTGGTGTGTCTCAGGTCGTGTCCACAGCTGAATCTCTTCCAGGTGGAGCAGTCCCAATCCGTGTGTCATTCGTTCATTCGTTTTTCAATATAAAACCAAAAAAATAAGAAAGTGAAAAAAACAACAGTTTTCTTCGTTATTTGTCTCCAAAACCAAAATGAAAAAACAGATAATGATTTGTTTTTTCAGTTTTTGATTTTGTGTTTAAATGAAGAATGGAAAAAAACGGATAACGACCGTTTCCCGTTTACGTGACTTCCGTGACTGCGATACTGGACTTTTGCACTGCATACGGACTGAACCAGGACTGATCCAGGTCCGGGACCAGACCGGGACCAGACCAGGACCAGACCAGGACCAGAGCGGGACCAGAGTGGACTCCGAGTTTTGACTTTGAGCCTCCACAGGGTCTGAGCCTCAGCCTCGAGCTCCGGCCCTGCCGTGGGCACTGAGCCTCCGGTCTGGTCTGGGTCTCAATCCCTGTCTGGTCCCGGTCTGGTCCCGGTCTGGTCTCGGTCTGGTCCCAGTCTGGTCTGGGTCTCAGTCCTGCTCTGGTCCCGGTCTGGGCTCAGTGTCGGTCTGGTCCCGGTCTGGTCCCGGTCTCAATCCCTGTCTGGTCCCGGTCTGGTCTCGGTCTGGTCCCAGTCTGGTCTCTCGGTCTCAGTCGCTCAGTCTCGGTCTGGTCCCGGTCTGGTCCCGGACCTGGATCAGTCCTGGTTCAGTCCATATGCAGCGCAAAAGTCCAGCATCACAGTCACGGAAGTCACATAAACAGGAGACGGCCGTTATCCATTTTTTCAGTTTGGTTTTGGAGACAAATAATAAAGAAAACTGTTGTTTTTATTTTTGGTTTTATATTGAAAAATGAATGAACGAATGACACATGGATTGAGTCCTGTTGGTGAGTTTCCTGTGTTTAACGCACATGGTTCACTCAGAATCAGAAAGGCCATAGGCTGAAACGTGTCGGGACTTTGTAAATTGTCCATTGACACATGCCGTAAATTAATAAAGGTATTTTATTTTAACCAGTGAGTGCCTTGTTTTTTTTTTTGCATCTTTAAAACATGAAGTAGCTCTGACTTAAAAAACAAAATCCACCTGCCTTTGTCATCAACACTCAAAATTCATATAAAAAAACTGCAGGGTCAATTCACACACACAGATTTATTTTTATTTTTTGACAGATTTACGATTTATTTAACAAAATAAAGATGTTGTCAGTTATTTGTATGAATCTGGTCACAATTATTACGTAATTTAGAGAGATTTTGGCTTTTGTTTACATTAAGTTTGCTCGGTAAAAGTTATAATTACCTTTACTTATGTCACATCTGCTGCCCGTTTTTTGTAAAATCTTAATATATAAAATATAAAATATATTTGCATTAACTGTGTTCAAATGAAAAAGTACTCTAACCTGTCATATGCACTTTAAGTTAATTTGAGAGAAAATGGACGACGCAGAGAGGTTGGGTTTGCTAAAAGACGATGATGCAAAAACTGCAGATTCAGCACTTAATTATTCACTTTTTTTAAGCTTCCAGTTTCTATAAAATCAAACTGTTTTTAAGATTTTGGAAAGAGAAAGCTGTAGAGACGCGGTTTAGCTGTTGATTGCTGAAATCATGGCGCATTATAGTGAACAGTCGGAGTGTTTGTGGAGGTCAGGCGGGCGGGGGCGTGAGGTGCGAGTGTCTCTTCCCTTTCGGAGCCTCTGTTCGACGGCTTCACTGCAGCACAGACGGGGGGCCCTGGTTCTCTGGGTCCGATGGGTCCCTGAAGTAAGAGATGGTCACTGGAGGAAGAGGAGGAGGAACTGAGACGGTCGAGTACACGTGATTCTGAAAGAGAGCAAAACGAGAAATAATAATAATGCGTTGAGATGATATACTTTTATTTCAATCCCATCTCAAACACGTCAGCCCCTCACACTTACAGATCGGCAAATATGTTTTAAATAACCG